CTGTCCTATGAGTTAAATGTGCACATAACTAGCCTGGGTACTGTCCCTGAAATCTGTATTTTTTTTAAAGATTTATTTATTTATTACATATACAGTGTTCTGCCTCCATTCCAGAAGAGGGCACCAGATTGAATTGTAGATGGTTGTGAGCCACCATGTGGTTGCTGGGAATTGAACTCAGGACCCCTGGAAGAGCAGTCAGTGCTCTTAACCTCTGAGCCATCTCTCCAGCCCTTCTCTGTTTACTCTTATGTCTCTCTTGGAGTACACACTCCTCGAGTGCTCCATAGTCACTGTGGCTAGTGGTTACCAACTCGAGGGAAAAATGGGGTCCCTTCTTGGGGTTCTTAGTTGCACTAATAAAAAAGTTCCAGAATAGGCTCAAGCGAAAGCACAAGGACAGTTTGATTAAAGTTTTAGAAAAACTGTCATCAGCTGTCTAGAAGAAGAGGCTGGAGGAGAGAAAGGAAAAGCCGTGCCATTTAAACCAGCATGGAGGTCAGACACATGGCTGGCAGTGACAAGGTGGGGAGGAAACTTTGGGAAGAAGCTATAGGAAGCCTCGTGTGTTGATGAAAAGGGTTAAGGAAAGCATGCTTTGAAAAAACAGCTTAGGAAAAAAAAAGGAAAACTTACTCAAATCAGAAAACCAGGCTGACTCAAGACCCTTGCGTGGCTGTCCAGTGAGTAAGCACCCTGAGTGGGTCTCTTTAGCTCACCTGTCTTCCTAGGGGTGGTCCTTAGCTCAGAGGTTTGAACCAGCCCACCTGGAATCATAAGCCTCAATTACAGCCAGAGATTCAATTTTCTTCACCTGGAGTTGGGGTTCTCGTCTGTCTGCTCTTTGGCTCCCATGCTGTGTGCAATGGGAGGGGGTGTCGTGGTGAACTCACCCGGCCATCCCTCTCCAGCAGATGCCTTCAGCATTCTTCATGAAAGAGAAAATTTGCTGTAGATTTTTTGTTTTGTTGTTTTGTTTTGTAGATACCTTCATGGGGAGTAAGCCATTTCCTTGTAGTTCTAATTTATTTTGATTTTAAAAACATAAGCTGGGCTTGATAGTGCCTGCCTGTAATCCAGGGGCTCTGAGGCCTCTTTCCACACCAGGAATGGGCCAGCGAGCATTCTTCATCTGAGTGCTTCTCAGCTAACGGCTTTTTCCCCTAGGAACTTGCCCTTATAGCTTAGATTTTCAAGGGGCTGTAATAAGATTATTTATAATCTCCCTGTATCTCTTCCCTTCCTTTCCCAACGCTCTGAATAAAGGTCCTTCTCTTTTCACCCCTGGTGTTAGCTAATTGCATCTTCTCTTTTTTCTTGGTTATTTTTGCCAGAGGGTTATCAGCACTGTTAGTCTCTTCTAAATGGAAGAATCCCAGCACTTGGTTGGCAGAGGCTAGCTCATCTTTGAGTTCAAGGCCAGCCTGGTCTACAGAGTGAGTTCTGGGATGGCCAGGGCTATGAAGAGAAACCCTGTGTTTTGCTTGCCTGTAGATCTGGGTATCACCCTCAGGGGCCCTGGGACTTAAGGTACTGAGGTTGTGAGCTGTCCTGTAGTTAGTGGGAACTGAACCCCAGTCTGCGGTTCGGGAAGAACAAGCAGCTGAGCCATCTCTCCAGCTCCCAGCCACCCCCTGAAATTCTTGATCCTCCTGCCTCCACCTCCTCAATGCTGGGGCCACAGGTTCTTGAACACCATTGAGTGCCTGGTTTCCCAGGATTTAAAAACATGTAACATTTTCATTCTCAAGCAGTTAAAATAGTTTATCATTTCCAATATGACTTTTTTGATCCATTAGTTATTTAGAAACATGTTTGCTAATCTCAAAATATTTGGGGCTTTTGATGTTATCTTTCATGAAGGCTTTGGATTAACTTATTATTGCATGTGTACCCTATGCATTACATATGTTTAAGTGTGTGTACCGGCACCTGTGTGGAGGTAAGTCAGAGGACAACGTTGCGAAGCCAGTTCTCTTCTGCGTCCATGTGGGTTCCCGAGATGGAGCTCAGTCTGGTGTAGCAAACGTCTCTACCAGCCGAGCCATTCACCAGTCCCTTTTTGCTTTTATTTTTAACTTTTTAAAAATTTTATGTGTGCAGCCGGGCGTTGGTGGCGCACTCCTTTAATCCCAGCACTTGGGAGGCAGAGGCAGGTGGATCTTGGTGAGTTTGAGGCCAGCCTGGTTTTCAGAGCAAGTTCCAGGACAGGCTCCAAAATAATAGAGAAACTCTGTCTCGAAAAACCAAAAAAAAAAAATTATGTGCATTGGTGTTTTGCCTGCATATATATCTATGTGAGAGTGTCAGGTCCCCTGGAACTGGAGTGATAGACAGTTGTGAGCTGCCATGTGGGTGCTGGGAATTGAACCCAGGTCCTCTGGAAGAGCAGTCAGTGCTCTTAACCGCTGAGCCATCTCTCCAACCCCACTTTTTGTTTTTTTAATCTTCACCTTATTATATACTTTATGTATTGAAATTTTCTTGAGGGAAACTGCTTTGGTAAATGTTCCTTTTGTATTTAAAAGACTCTGCTGCTTGTTATTGACACTGTGTTCTAGAATAGTCTATCAGTCAGAAGTGTGGGAATCATGTCCAAATCTCCTTCCTGTACCTTACTAAACATCCCCCCCCCGGTCCACTGAAGGGAGGGTGGCAATCCTCCTCGTCTAATTTGTGGATTCCTGTGGGTTTTGCTCTTTCGGCTGTGGAGTTTTGCATACCGATTTGACATCCTTCTCGGGTGAAGGGGACTCTTTAGTGTGAAGGGGCTTCCTTTGTCTTTGTCATGCATCTCCCTCCGTAATTAAACAGCATTTGCCGGCAGTCTGCCCTCCGCCCATTCACTATCCTTGCTTCACAAACACCCCCTGTAGTTACTTGGTGTAAATTGCATCTGCTGGGATTGCATGCAGCCTGACTTTGTAAAAAGTGACCGCAGTGTTAGTCCGCTGAGTTTACTGAGTCACAAGGCATTTGAAGTCCCATCATCAGTGCATCTCTTCTTTCTGGGTTGCTTTCCTTGGTGTGGGTTTTTGTTTTGTTTTGTTTTTTCTTTACTCTGGCTCACAGCACGGTTCTCGGGGTTTGCAAACATCTGGTGTTTACCCTAACCTAGGCGACTTGTGTTCTCAACTTAGCCCTTCTTTATTTTGCTCCGGGATATTTAAGGATCTCGGCACACTTGAACTCCAGTTAAACCCGCGTATCTTGTTAATTTCCCGTCTGTTTTTCTCTGGAAAACGCGGTTTCTGCTTTTGTAGCATCAGTGTTTTTCATTGTGTCTTCCTCATTGAGTCAGACCTCTCTCCGGCTCTCCCTCCTCTCTCCTCCCACATCCCCAGTTCCTCGTTTGGAATTCCCCTCAGGGACGGTCAAATTCCTACTGTCTGTCTTCGCAAATGTCTTCATTGTACCTTTGTTCTTAGCAGACATTCCCACGGAATATACAGTTCTCGATCATGGTAATTTTCTCTCGTGACAGGGACTTGCCGTCCCTTGCCTTCTGGCTTCCTTTGAGCTTGGCTAAAAACTCAGGTGTCAATCTAGCATCCTTTCCCTTTATTTTTTTCTTCGCCGGACATAGGTGTTTGGAGTTTAAGAATAGGGAACTACGGGATGTCTCTAAGCGCTGGGTGACTTGGTTGGTCTGCTTGTAGAAAGCTCCCGGGTCCGGGCTGGGGGAGGGGGACGCCGCGAGAGGCGGTGGTTAAGAATCCGGGTTGTGGGGGTGGTGATGTGGAGGGGCGGCCCCGAGTCACCTCCTGGAGATCAGAGAGGCAGGAACGGAGAGGGAGCGGGAGGAGTAGGGGCGACTCGGACCCCATCTCCATTGTGGAGAAAGGCTTAGCGCTGGGTCGGGGATTAAGCGTTCGTTCGGTCCACATTTAGTGCAGGAAAGCGAGGTGGTGAGGAAGACCGCTGGAGTCTAGTCCGTGGCGGGGTTTGCTGACGGCAGAAAAGGGTCTCCACCTGAGATGGACCGCGGCTGCCAGGCCTGGGCCCTCTGGGTAGCGCGCTCACGTGTGTGAGCCGCGTTTTCTACACCACCAGCTGGAACTGGTCAGGGTGTGAGGGGTGGAAGCGCCGAGGGGTGGGCGCAGAGGCACCAGTTCAGGCCTGCCTAGACGGCTCGCTGCGGGTGGGACAGCCTTGCTATCCGCCCCTCCCGCAGTGCCAGCCACGGTCCCCGCCTGGCCTGCTCTCCTTTGTGGGAAGGGAAGCAAATGACCGGTTTACTCGTCTGTTCCCCATCTGCATAACACGGCCCCAAAACGGTTTTTTTTTATTTCGTTTTTATTCTATCTTATCTTTCGAGACAGGGGTCTCTAAATAGCCCTGGCTGGCCTTGAACACACAGAGATCCGCCTGGCTCTGCCTTCCCAGAGCTTGGGATTAAAAACGTGAGCCACTACCTTCAGCTTTAAGATAAAAAAAAAAGATAGTTTATGTGTATGAGTGGTTGCCTGCTTGCCCGCGTACGTGCAACGGCGACGTAGATCAGAGGAGATAGCACCGAATTCCCTATTAACCATAACGTGGGTGTTGGGAACCGAACCAGGTCCTCTGAAAGAGCAGCAACTGCTCCTAAACACAACGCCGTCTCTCCAGGCCTAGATTTAATTTGGTTGAGACAGGGTCTTAGGTAGTTCAGGCTGGCCAGGAACTCCTGATCCTCCTGCCTCAGCTGCCCAAGCGTTGGGGTTACAGGCCTGCTACTCTCGGTTTCAGCGCCTTCCGAGCCATTGGGAGGACTTGGGGGAAATGACCAGGCCCAGCCCAGAAGCCGAGTAGAGAGATGGGGTGCACCGCAGACCGTTGCGCTCAGATCCCAAGCTCCAAATAAGTCGCGAGCATCAGACGCGCTGCCAGCCGCCCAACTTGGCCAGCAGGCGGGGTTAGGGAGAGGGGCGTGGCTCCGACTCTAGGGGGCGTGGTCCAGGCAGGGAGGGGCGGGGCTGACCCTCTGGGCGCTCTCGGAGGCCCGCCCGCGCGCGCGCGCCCGTCCGCTGGCGCTGGGGAAAACGTTGCGCAGGTTCAAAAATGGAACGTCGGCGGCGTGAGGGAGCGCTCGGGGGTGTGCGCGCGTGCGCGTGCGTGTCCGGCACAGCCTGACGGGGTCCCCGCCGACCCGAGCATCGCGCGCAGCGGCAGCGGCCGCGGCCCCGCAGCTCCACCCCCGGACCCGGCCCGGCCCCCGGCCCATCGCCCGCCGCCCCGCATGGAGCTGTCAGCCATAGGCGAGCAGGTGTTTGCGGTGGAGAGCATCCGGAAGAAGCGCGTGCGGAAGGTGAGGCTGCTCGGGGGCGGCTCCCGCGACGCGGCGAGGTCGCCTCCTGCTCCCCAGCACCGCCCCCTCCAGGTCCGGCCGAGCGGAAAGGGGTGCGGGGTGGGGGTGGGGGGACACCTGGGGACCCGGCGCTGCTTGGCCCGCCTCGCAGCCGGTTCCTCACTTTTCCCCGCCACCAGGTAGGGCCAGTCGAGTTAAAGTTGTTGCCCGGAGATGCTGGTGCATCTGAGGCTATCTGGGATGGAGATGAGGACGGGACCGGAGATTGTGAGCTCCATTCCGCCTCCCTCCCTCTGCCGCTCACTTTCGAGGAGACTAAAAGCTCAAGTTGAGGAAACAACTTGGTAGTGCGTTAGAGTCGAAGTGAGCCTCGAACTGGGCCCTCTGGATTTTCAGTACCAAGCCCTTTGAAGTTGGCAGCAGAGCTTTGGAAAAGTCTCCTGTGGGTCTGAAGTTTTCCTGTTGGACTTTGACCTTCCCGATCCCAGTCGTCGTCCCCCCGCACCCCCCCCCCCGGCACACCTTTCTCCTCCTCCTCCTCCCCCACCCCTCCCCTCCCCCACCTACCAGCCGGGTGCCGCTCCTCCGAAGCCTGGGCCACTGTTGTTGGGGCATCCTCGAGGCCCCGCCCCCTCTACCAAGGCCTTCCACTCCTACCCTGAGATTGGAGGAGGCGGTTCTGCCGCGCTCAGGACCACACACCTCAGCCTGCAGTTTCCGGTCCAGACCTCAAGTGTACGCTCTTGGTGCACGTGCTTGCCGAGCGCTCATCCCTGAGCGAACCTGGGTCTGGGCACATGCGTGGGAAAAATGCTCCTGGGCCTCCAGACGGCCCCCTCCCCTTTGCCCCCGGCAGCTCCTTGAGAAGCTCTTGGCAGCCACGTTCTCCCACTTGACTCAAGTGCAGGCACCTGCTGTGGGATTCTCACGGGTGGCGTTGGGTGGGCCCAGCGTGGGTGACTTGGGGCAGCGACTGCCTATAGGTTAGACCTGCCTCCTGTCCCTGCCTTCCCAGGGATAGCCATCGTCTCCTCCGACAGGGCACAGGGTAGGGCGCTCAGCTCTACAACCCTGCAGAGGCCGCTGTGTTTCAGATAGCGCTCGGGCAAGGACACAGGTGCAGGCAGGATGAGGGCGGAGGTCAACACAGGTGCCTTTGGCGGACTAGGTGCTTCCCATAAAGAACTGTCCACAGTGTGGTGCTAGGGAGGAGAACTTTGATAAGGAACTACGAATGAACCTCAGAGCTTTCATGTGGATATGCTTCGGCCAGCTCGGGGGGCTTGGCTGGACTCTTGAAGACCCTTTCCCCAGAGACTCCAGGCCACCTTTCAATGGGTCCCGCTGGGCACCTCCCAGAGAGGGCCGCTAGGGTCTCGGGTGGCTCTTTCGGAAAGTGAGGAACCGTGGTCTTGGCTTCAGCCACTGTGCATGGCTATGTCCACATACTTCCGTGTGGTCTCAGGTTCCCTCTGAGACATGAGCCCCTGTCTTGGGTTCCACGGATGTCTGGGACCGGATGCGCCTCCCATGCTGCAGCAGGGGAGGGCTGTGGGACGGTCCTGTAGAAGTGAGAGTTCCGGGAGTTGTCTCTGGGTTGAGCCTTGGTCTACAGTAGTGTTGCAGAGGCTCCTTAGTGGTCCTGCAGGTGCGAGTACTCACTGTCTTTTTCCCCCCACAGGGCAAAGTCGAGTATCTGGTGAAATGGAAAGGATGGCCCCCCAAGTAAGGCTTCTGTGTGTGTCCCCTGCCGTCATCTCCCCCCCACACTGGCTTCAGCTCCTGGTGCTCTTATGACTGAACAGCAAGCCCTAAATCGCCAGCTTTCCAAGGCCTCGGGTCCCCTCTGCTAGGGGGTTCCTCGCTTGTCTCCTCATCCTGCCCCCTTCTTCTGACCATGGGAGTTAAGGCCCAGCACCTTGGCTTCCTCAGCGGCCGCTGGCCTCCTGAGGGGGTCCCCATGTGGAGCAGGTACAGCGCTAGGTGGGGAACCTTGGGCTGTGGATCCCCGGTAGTCAGTGCGGTAGCAGAGGGAGGGGTGGAACCTGGTCATCCTGCCTTTAGGTGGTACTCTCTTGTCTACAGAGTTTACAGGCATTCTTTTTAAGTGGGTGTGATTCTGAGCTCTTCAGGTGAGGAAATGACTTGCCTCAGGTCATACAGCAAGGGGAGGCAGAGCTGGGACTTGGGAACTGAGCCTGACCGTTTATTGGGGCCTCTCCTCTGTCTTCTCAATACCCCTTCCTGGTGTTGTGGGATAGAGAGCTAGGTGTGACACCTGGCACAGCTGGTGGCCCTCTGGTGTTGAAGCCTGATGAGGAACCTTCTCACTAACCAGTCACCTCCCATCAAAGACCTGCTGGGGTTGCGAGCAGTCGAGATACAGGACTTTTCTACTGGTTTGTGGATGCTCTGCCCTGCCTCCTACAGACTGGCTTCTGGAAACGCCCTCTGCTTTCCTGATGACCCTGACAGCCCTGGAACTTTTTTTTTTTTAATTTTTAATTTTAATTTTAAATAGCTTGTTTTACATGTCAGTCCCAGTTCCCTCTCCCTCCCCTCCTCCCTCACTCCCGCCCTGGAACTTTCTTCGGCTCTTGTGTGTGTGTGGGGGGGGGTCTGACCTGTGATTTTGTCCTGGGGTATCATGGAGAGATGGCGAGAAGAAGGGAAGTCAGTCCCCAAGTGCCTCAGCTTCCTCCTTTACAAAGTGGGTTCAGTGGCCTGGGACTTGACTTCTCTTACAGGCCTGGCAAGGCGAGAGGCACGGATGTTGGTTCAGAGTGGACCACAGGCCTCCAGGTGGCGGGCTGATGGCCCCTTCCTTCTCTCTGCCCATCTCTGTTTCCCGAATGGCCCGTCACTGGTCACTAGTGGTCATCTGGCTTGGGCACAGTAGCAAAGGGAGTGAGTCTGAACAGGGCTCTGTTTGCTGTGCACACGCAGCTAGCTGGGGCTCACCGCATCAAGAACTTCACCGAGGAGAAGTGGAGCGAGGGCCTAATAGCTCTGTTTCTTCCTGAAGCCATTTGACTAGATCATCTGAGGATGAGCCTTCTGCTTTCTTCGCTTGGAGATTTCAGGCCTGGCTGCCCCGTGGGCACTTAGGAGCCCTTGGGCAACTCCTCAGCCTATATTTGCTGGTATTCTAACCCTGAACCCCGAAAGCTTCTCTCAGAACCAGTGCTCTGAGAGTTGAACTACTAGTACAGGGTCAGCTGAGTGGGCCTTCGGGCTGTTTTTCTGTGGGAAAGATTCCATTCCAAATAGGAGCTTAAAGTTTCCTTAGAATAATATGGTCTTTTCAGATGGAGAAACTGAGGCTCAGAGGAGGTCACTACAGGAACATAACCGCTAACCCTCCCTCGCAATGTCCTTTTCATGTGATCCTGCCATCTGTGTGGGTCAGGTCGGGCTGGTTTTCAGGGAACTGACTTGGAGCAAAGGCTGAGAAAGTGCGTGGAGTGGGGGTTGTCTGACCTGGGAGTCTGGCCAGGGCGAGGTCCTCCCATTTTGTAGCTACCTCCTCAGCAACAGGAAGGTACCTTTCCAGGCCATTGCAGAGCCATTTTGTTCCTGTCCATTTGCTTCCCAGTGAATGTGGTAGAGGGGAACTCTTGGATCTCCTGGGGGCATCAGGCAGAGGAGGTTGTTGCTGCAGGTGCTCTGTTTGCCTCGGAGAGCGTGGGGTACTGTATTTTTGCCTCTGCCTGCCCAGCACCCTACTGCTCTCTATCTCCATTCTTTCTCCACACGCATATAGCTCCATCTTTTCAGAAAGACTGAAGCCATTTACCAAGCTGCCAGTGTGAGAGCCCCCCCAGTATGAGCCAGGCATCACCCGCTTTACAGATGGAGAGTCCTTATTTGAGATTCTGATCTACTTCTGGTATACATGGCCAGCGCCACTACAGGGGCCCTGGTGTGTCTCGTTAGCTCCTCTAGTGTCAGACCATCATGCCTCCTTATGAACTTTGGTTATGAATGACAAGCAGTGGTCCCAAGCAAAACTCTTAAATTGGTCTGTGTGTGTAAATGAGGCCCGCTAGGAGTCACTAATGCGCCCTGGCAGCCAGGTACAGAGCCTCCCTCTCTAGGCCCAGAAGCCTGGCTTAGCCCTGGCAATCATGCCTGCAACTCTTAGGCTTTTGAAGCTGGTTTAATGAACGCTTCTTGGATTTTATTATGCGCCACACTCAAGTATGTGGGTCATGTGGCTTAACACGTAGAATCTTCTCCACAACTAAAAGCTAAGGGATTACACGGAGACCTGGTTTAGAATGAGGTACAGCAGTTGGGGCGGTGGAACTAGAGTCATGGAGCTGGAGCTGCCGCTGGCCCGGCTCCGCGTGGCTCCAGCTCGCCCGGTTTCTGCGTACAGCTACGTAGTCCCTTCCCCCACCATGGAACGGCAGGCTGGGGCCAGGCGACCCGTCTTGCTTGGGGTGCCGCGCCCCACCCCAATCGTCTGACCCCAGCTCTCACAGGGGCTGGGAGCGCAGGCGGAGCTTGTTTACCGCGAGGGGGCGGGGTCACGATCACGTGGTCGTGTTTATCTCCAGCAGGAGGGCATGCCCAGGCCAGATAGGTTTCCAGTGATCTGGGCTCCCACCGTCACCCTGCGAGAGCGCTGCTCTCTAAGTGCACTGGATCCTTACAGAGGCACTTTGTGGCCAGTTGCGGACCCTTCTGCAAGGCCCTGCTGCTTCACTTGCCGGGGGAGGGGCAGGGTTCAGCGTCCCTCCCACCTCCATCCCTACGGCTGCTCTCTTCCCTGTGATTTCACAGATTGTAAGCCTAAAAGGGCCTAGATATAGGCAGTGATCCTGCCCCAGGGATGTTCCAGTTTGTGGGGAGCCCAACCAGGTGACCTTGGGCAAGTTGTTGAATCTCTGTGCCTCTGCTTTTTCATCTGTAAACTGGAGTGATTATTTAGGAACCTGCTTCGGTGAAATAATGGGGGATTCCTCAGAGTAGCCTGGTGCACTTGCGACAGACAGTGGGGGCAGTTGTTCTTTAGATGAGGTGCAGAGATGGGTAGGGACTTACCAGGAATCGGGTAGTAGCTGCAGCAGTAAGGAATGGGCCTGAAGGTGGGCAGGGCAGGCCAGAGAGGCTGAGCAGGTCGGGAGGGTACAGTGGGCAGAAGGCATGAGTTCTACCTGCCCCGGTCGGGATCAGCCCAGCAGCTTTCCTAGAACACCTGGGGCTGACTTGAGCCAGTTGCATTCATAGCTGCGTTGGTCCAGCCGGGCCAGGAAGCCCAAGAACCCGGTTCCTGGGGATGGTTAGATGATGGCTGCTAGACAGGGAGAAGAGTCACGTGCCAGCTGAGTAACGAAGGAAGGAAGAGTTCTGTGCCTGGATGGCTGGCCCCTCTCTCTCCCGGCTCCAGTGTCCCTGAGACTTAAGAGACAGGTTTTAGCTCTTAGGGTGTCTCAGTCTCTTTTCTCTCTGCTGATGAGCCCTTCCACCTAGTTGTCTGCTGTCTCCAGGAGGACCTTGGGCTGAATCATAGGACGTGGCCTTGGTCTGTTTTTTTTTTTTTAATTATATAGCACTAAGGATGGTGCTGCAAGCCTTTAATCCCAGCATTAGGGAGGCAGAGGCAGGTGGATCTCTTGGGTTGGAAGCCAGCCTGATCTGCAGAGGGAGTTCCAGGACTCAGATCCTGCCTCTGCCTTGGGAGTGCTGGAATTAAAGGTGTGGGTGCACCTGGTTTCCAGTTCCCTTTCATCTCCTGTTACTAGAAGCATTCTTCCCAATATGTCCCCATTTGTTTGTATGTGTGTGCGCGTGTTTATAGTCTGAGTTTCAGTTGTGATTGCTTGCTTATGCGTGGATGTGGGGTTATTTACTGGGTCATGGATGTCTTACCAGTAGCCACATCTCTGAAGAAGAATGACTTATTTCCCAGCAGCTATGGGCTGACGATGGTTCCTCAGCTAGGGGCATAGTTTTGTGTGCTCCACCCTCATCTATAGTGTAGTGCTGACGGGCTCCATTTTGTACAGATAGCTGCACCTCCTGTGAGTTCAGGGTGTGGTAGCCCTGTTGTGTCCAGGACAGCCCCTTACAGCCCTCATTATCCTCTGGCTCTTATGTCTTTCTGCCTGCCCTTCTGTGATATTTGGTGAGATTTTTGGCGGGGGCACTAGTATAGATGTCTATTTAGGGCTGAGCACTCAAACTTTAACTTAGCCTTAGATCTTTGTATTTTTCAAGACAGGGCTTCTCTATAGCAGGGTTTCCTGGACCACCAACCCCTACACCATGACTCAGAAACTTATTAATTATGAATGCTTGGCCTTTAGCTTAGGCGTGTTTCTAGCTAGCTTTTATAACTTAGCCCATTTCTATTAATCTGCGTGCTGCCCCAGACTCCCTCACCTCATCTACAGACTGTCCGTCCTGCTTTTCTGCTTCCTTCATGTCTGTCTGTCTGGTTGGCTGGCTCCTCTTTTATCTTTGCACACCAGCCCCACCTAGCCCTCCTCTGCCTGGCTATTGGCCATTCAGCTCTTTATTAGACCGATCAGGTGTGTAGGCAGGCAAGGTGAAACACAATACATCTTTACACACTTAAACAAATATTCCACCACATTTCTCTGTGTAGCCCTGCCTGTCCTGGAACTCACTCTGTAGATCAGACTGGCCTCAGAGTCAGAGACCTGCCTGTCCTTACCTCCTGAGTGCTGGAACTCAAGGCATGTGCCACCATGCCTGGCTGTGCTTTAACCATTTTTGAGTCTGCATTATTCTGCCTACTGCAAAAAACAGCTTCTCCAAGGCTGAGAGCAGCACAGGTCTATGGGTATAAGCAAACGCTCAGAAGGCAGTTTGACAGCATTTCCCTTCAGCAAAACAACAGATAGGCTCCCTCCTAGGAGCCATGGATTTCCTTTTATGTGCCCTCCCCCCCACACACACACATAGGGTTTCTCTGTATGACCTGGCTGTCCTGAACTCACTCTGAAGAGCAGGCTGGCCTAAAGCTCACAGAGCTCTGCCTGTCTCTGGCTCCTGTTTCAGAAAGAGAAAAAAAAAAGTCTTCTTGTATTCCCACTTACTGCTTTAGAAATTTATTTTTGTTCTTTTAAGATACTTGTTATCACTAGATGTTTACCAGACACCTGTTGTGGGCCAGGCTCAGGGAGAAGGGGCTGCCGTCCTTGCTTGATGGCTGGGGCAGATAGCAAAACCCTTTCTCTCTGCCAGGTGCTACACTGAACAGCCCTGAGACCTTTAGTCAGTACTTGACTTCTTCACAGAGAGGGACAGGGAAGCACAGGGCTACAGAGTATGTAGCTCAAGGTTACACAGTCAGCTAGGATTAGAGCTGGCATTTGAACCCAGATAGTTAACCCTGGAGCCCCTGCTAGGCTGTGGGGGGAGGAACAGAGGCCTCCTTAGGCCTCAGGAGGATATTAGATTTAACTGGAGTCTGTAGTAGTAGTCTGATTACAGTCTGGCACAAATGAGGGAAGTTGTGATACAAAATAAAAATAAAGACATTAAATAATAAAAAGTATGGGGAGATGGCTCAGTCTGTAAAATGCTTACTACACAACCATGAAGAACTGAGTTCAAATCCCAGCACCCACGGAAAAAGCCTATGCTAGGGCTCTCAGACCTCACAGGACTGGCCAAGCTAGGTGATAGGCTGGTACAGAGTACAGCCTCTGTGACACTGGTGATGCAGGCATCTCTGACCTTTTGTTCTTCTCCCCAGGTACAGCACATGGGAGCCAGAGGAGCATATCCTGGATCCCCGCCTTGTCATGGCCTACGAGGAGAAGTAAGGGCCCTGCCTGTTTTGGGCCTCGCCTGAGGCCAGCTCCAAGACATCTTAGGAAGCCTGCCGGTGGCTTGGCTGGGGCAAGAGTCTTTTAGGGCAGGGCGGGTTAGGGGTGTGTGGCAGGAAAAGGTGATGGGCACCTAAGACCTGTTCCTGTATCCTGTTGGTGTCTTCCTGTCTGCCAGCTTTTGCCCTCCTGTGGCTTCCTAGTCCTAGGCTGAGGGTCATTCAGAAGCACTGACAGATGCGTCCTGTGTGGTAATGACAGCATCCGCTACCTGTCAAAGAAGAGAGTCTGTCGAGGTTAAGCAAGGCCAGCGATTAAAGAAGGCTTCTGGCTTGGCCTCTGACCTCCTGTTAGCACCTTGCTGAGAGTCAAGATCCCACCTTCCCATGAGCTTCACTGCTCACACCTGGACCATGGAGTGTGTGGCACAACTGTTATCTTTTTAAAGTTACATTTGTGTCACACACACACACACACACACACACACACACACACACGAGTGCCACCATGCATGTATGAAGGTAAAAGGGTAACTTGTATTGTTTCTATCACTGGGACCCTGTGGATCCTAGTGATAGAACTCAGGTTGTCAGACTTAGCAGTGAGCTGTTTGCTAGCTGAGAGGTCTCAACAGTGTCCCCTACCCCATGCCTGTTTTTACAGAGTGCAATTTTTACCCTGTAGCCCTGGCCTACCTGGACTTGGGACTGATCCACTTTCTCCTTTCTCCTACTTGCTGGACTTAGGGACTTAGGGTGTATGCTCCTGTGTCTAGTTCTCACAACTGCTTTTGTTGTTGTTTGTTGGTTTTACTTTTTTATTTTTTTTTTTTTGAGACAGGGTTTCTCTGTGTAGCCCTGGCTATCCTGAGATTCACTCTGTAGACCAGGCTGGTTTCAAACTCACAGAGATCCACCTGCCTCTGTCTCCCGAGTGCTGGGATTAAAGGCATGTGCCACCAATGCCTGGCTACTTAATGGTAATCTCTTGACACAGGAAGGAGGGTGTCATTGGAATGAGGAATTTAAACCTCCTGAGCAGTTAGGGGGTTTATCCAGGAGCTTTGCCAACGGAACAGGGACAGTGAGGGCCTGACCTGATCAGCCCCTCATTGCTACACGATTGCTCTTCCCCAGAGGCTTCTGGAAGCACTTTCAAAGATTCGAAGGTTGTGTCTTCATTGTTCCCTTTTTGTTGTTTGGCTTTTTGTTTGTTTGTTTTTGTTTTTGAGACCGTTGTTCTTTTTTTTCTTTGAAAGACTCTGCATCTTATTACTGAACAAACCACACCCCCAACTTAAACATGACCAAGTCTCCAGGTTAAAAATGTTGAACTCTACCTGGTAGGATTAATCAATGACTGTAATTCAGTGTCAGCTCAGTCTTGCCATTGTGACTCCTTACAGACCCAGCCTTTATTCTCCTCCAGTGTCTTTTCTTGGAGTTGTACCTGGTTTTGTTACCAGTTTGCATCTGAATCCATTGAGGAATAGGACAGTTTTGTTTTTGTTTCCTGGCCAGGAATCACTTGATTCTGAAAGTCTTGTGAGAAGACGTGGAGGTGCACCATGGCTGAGGAAAGGGGAAGAGCCCATTGTTCTTTTTATTTCACTTTATTTGTATGTGTGGATGCTCCATGTGAGTGCAGTACCTCTAGAGACCAGATGAGGGTGTCCTGTCCCCCTGGAACGGCAGCACGAAAGGTCTCTGAGCTGTCATGTGGGTGCTGGGAATTGAATCTGAGTTTTCTGCAAGGGCAGCCAGTGCTCTTAACTACCGAGTCATTTCTTCAGCCTTTCATCATTGCTCTTAACTCGTTATGATAGTGTTCCTGTCCCACAGTTTCTCTCTGCTCTTGCTGCTTCTTGGTGAGATCTTGACCTAAAGTAATGGTTCTCAACCTGTGGGTTATGACCCCTTTGGGAGTCAAACAACCCTTTTATATAGGGGTCACCTAAGACCATTGGAAAACACAGATATTTACATTATGATTTATAACAGTAACAAAATTACAGTTATAAAGTAGCAATGACAATAATTTTATGGTTGTGGGTCACTATAACCTAAGGAACTGTGTTAGAGGGTCGAAGCATTAAGAAGGTTGAGAAGCGCTGATCTAAAGTTGTGTCACTGAGAGAGTCCTGTATACTGCCTTGGTTTTCTGATACAGGGTCTCACTGTATAGTCTAAACCAGCTTGGAACTCACTATATAGACCTGGCTGGCCTCCGTAGCAGTCCTCTTGCCTCTGCCTCCCAGGTGCTGAAGTTACAGACATGTACCACATGCTCAGGTGTGTGGACTGTCTTAGATTGTGGCAAAGAAACAGCAGGAATGGTCAAGGCCGGGTGCCCATTCCTCACATCAGGAGACATTGCCTGGCAGGGGTGTGGCAGCTGCCACCAACAAGACCAGTTTAAGACATTGGGGGAAGACTAGTGTATGGATGGCCCAGATGAGAGGTGGCCTAAGGACTCCGGGCCTTAATGGAGAGCGAGTGAGTTCCCAGCTCCGCCTTCTTTGTGCTGTCTACAAGGTCTTCGTGGTGGGGCTACAGGAGAATAAGTGGACAGACAGACAAGTGGGACATACTGCCCCCACGTCTTTGGCACTGCCATGTGGAATCTTGAGTTGTGTCATATGAGTTGAGGGTGGCTTTGTAAGGAGGGCACCTTACAGGGCGCTCTTTCCCCTCCCCTACTCAGGTGAGGTGGGGCCCTTTCTCTGCGGATTCTGATAGGTCCCAAATGGATTGGCTGGGTCGAACTCCCCTTGCCAGGGAACTTGCTATGGTTCTTAGGGCCCCAAGACACTCAAGGCCAACTGGCTTCTTGCTGAGTGAGAGTGAATACCATAGGCAGTGTGGCCCTGGAGTGGATCAAGGACCTGTTTGTTTTCAGAGTAAAGGCTGAGCCCTGGAAGTTGAATGTCGACCCCAGTGGTGGGTGTGTGGTGTGGGGTGGCCTATGTCCCTAACCCAGGCACATGGGGGGTGATGCTTCCCCTTAGATGTCACCAGTGTTTCTTTTTCTTCTGCCACCTTCTTCACACAGGGAGGAGCGAGACCGAGCATCAGGGTATAGGAAGAGAGGTCCGAAACCCAAACGGCTTCTGCAGCAGGTAACCACTGTCTCTGAGCCTCCCCCTCCTCCTCCTGCCCTGCCCGACCCTGCCTTCCCTCACCTGCATGTGCGCTGACCCTTGAGCACTGACCCTACCCAGCACCTCCCAGAGTACTGTGGAATGGCTCAGTGGGTACCTTTCAGTAGAAAGGGTTGGGTAAAGGCCATGTGTGGAACTGGAGCCAGGGAAGCCAGCCTGTGTTGGGGTGGACATGTATCTAGTCTTGGAGAACTTGAAATGTTGTGCCAAAGCCTTTTTGATGCTTCAAATCTAAACACAAAGTAACGGAGGGTCTTAGTGTTGAGGGAGAAGAATGGCGGGCTAGGGTCGCCACATTCAAGGCTGAACACCCTTAGCATTCTCAACGTGACCTTGGGACAGCAGGCTGTAGAACTGTGTATCTTTGTGTGGGGAGAAGACCATGAAGCCTGTGTTGTCCTGACTTATAGAGGTTTCTGCTCATTCTCAGGATGCCTTAAGTCTTGGCATAGAAGCCAAAAGAGTATGAAGCCACATGGTCAGTGAATCCGGGCAGCTGAGTGTTTTCTCACCTATAAGGGGCTGGGTGAAAGTGTGTGCTCTTTATTTCATAAGGCCCATCTGAGCATGTGGTTCATATGTGTTAAACCACTCCTAGTGCTGTGCTGGATTGGCTCAGGTCCTCTTTAGTGGACAGGATGCCTTGCCTTTGGTGGAGATGACCCGTGGGGCTTGTCACAAACTGGCCTAGGGAGGAAACCAGCACCCAGCACCCATCACAAGTGGATACATTTCCCTCTATATCTAAACAGGGCAGTTGTGTCAGACATCCACTGCTGTGTGGCAGGACTACCCCACCAACAACGTGTGGGTCCGCTGGTTGTGGATGCTCCTAGCCTCAGATCCATTCAGGGTGCTTCAGGCCGGGGCAGGAAGCTTGGGTGCCCAGTCTGCATGTGGCAGTGAAGCCGCGCTGGAGGGTGGCGTGTCCTTACGGGGGTCCTCACAGACAAGTGGGTGATCGAAGAGCAAGGAAGGAGCCAGAGGTCCAGAAGGCAGCGCTGTCGGACACGGCCTCGTGTTCTGTTTTTCACTGAGATGCAGTACAGCTCAGCGAGCCTGGGTTTTGCCTAGGGTCACGCAGCAGGGTAGGACTCAGCTGTGAGTGGAGCTGGCAAGGTGAGGTAGCAAAGGACCCAAAGGACCAAAGGAGCTTCCCATGCGATGCCTTGTGAGACCCTAAAGTCTCCCGAGGGCTAGCTTCTCCTCCTGCTAGTGACACACACCAAATGTGCATGGTGATTAGTGGGGAGGGTGGACTGTGGAGCTGGCCTGTGTCCGCACTTCCTCCTGTCCTGGGGACTCTTGGTTTCTGATGGCATATGGCAGAAGATGCTGTCCCAGGTAATGTGGGATCTTCTTTGGTTATTTATTTATTTATTTGCTTTTGTTTTTTTGGTTTTTCGAGACAGGGTTTCTCTGTGTAGCTTTGGAGGCTGTCCTAGAACTAGCACTTGTAGACCAGGCTGGTCTCGAACTCACAGAGACCCGCCTGCCTCTGCTTCCTGAGTGCTGGGATTAAAGGTGTGCGCCACCACCACCCAGCTCCTTCTTTGGTCTTGACCTAGGGATTTTTTTTTCTTTTTTTTGGAGCTGTGCACATTTTACTCATAGTTAGGAAGACAGGCTTCCCATTCTAGAGTTGCAGCCCTTAGGTGTGTATGTGCCCTCCTGCTCTGCTTCACTGAGGTTGAGTGAGACCCAGCCCCCAGAGAAGGCCCAGGGCAGTTGCCTGTGAAGAGCAGGTGGGGTGCTGTCCCTGAAGCTGGAGTACCCCAGACTCCAGCAGCAGCTTCTCCCTTTGCCTCTGAAGAGCCGTTTCAGCTTCCAAAAATACCTCAAGGTGTCTACTTAAGAAATCTAGTTCTTTTAACTTTGCAAAGCGCTTGATATCAAGCCCAGGCCCGTGCATGTAGTAGGCCATGCTGTGCCACTGAGCTATGCCCCACCCCTGTGGGTCACTTTTCAGAATGTACACTGTGTACTGGTCTGGTGAGGGTCAGCCCTGACCCTCAGCCTTTGCTGTGGCCAAGAGAGATGACTGAGCTTAGTGGGTGTGGGGACTGACCGGTGTCTGCCCTGGCCCATGGGCAGGGGCCGCAGGTGGAACAGAGTTGGGCACACTGGAGAAATAATAGCGTGAGCAGAGGAGCCGCAGTGGGAGGCGGGCTGACCCGCGCCCTGGCTTGCTCCTTCAGCGGCTGTACTGCATGGACCTCCCACAAAGCCAAGGGCAAGGAGGAGCTCTGCTTCTCTTTGACACGCCCACTCGGCAGTGGGAGCCCCGAGGGGGTGGTCAAGGCGGGGGCAGCTGAGCTGGTGGACAAGGGCCCCTTGGTGCCTACCCTGCCCTTCCGGCTCCGTGAGCCACTCAAGGCCCACAAGTACCTGCGGCTCTCACTCAAGAAGTTCCCGCCACGCAGCGGGCCCCACCTGGAGAGTCACAGCCATCCACGGGAGCTCTCCCTGCAGGAGCCACCAGCCCCAGATGCCCTGCAGGCCTCCGGCGCCTGGGAGCCTATGGAACAACCCCCTGAGGAGGAAGAGGAGGAGGAGGAGGAGGAGGGTAAGGCAGTCATCCTAAGGTCTCAAAGCCTGAAAGGTCCCTGGCCCTTGTCCAGAGGGCCTGGAGACCATGCAGCTGTGGAGCCCTGAGGACTGATTTGGGCTTGACTCCTGCCCATCCTGTAAGCTAGGCAGGTGCATGTGTGCCCTCCTAAGCATCCAGCTTCAAGCATGTTGGGGGATGATGGACTGCCTACTGCCCACTACTGTTAACTGACCACGTTAGTACCAACCTGTGTCTCATCTGTGTCTTTGTCCTATGGCTGCAGCAGAAGCAGACCAGGCCAGTGGGCCCCCTCCCTGGACACCCACACTCCCCTCAAGTGAAGTGACCGTTACTGACATCACCGCCAACTCCGTCACTGTCACCTTCCGTGAGGCTCAGGCCGCCGAGGGCTTCTTCCGAGACCGAAGTGGGAAGCTGTAAACAGCGGCTTCCCCTCTTAAACTGTGTCCCTTGGGGCTTGGGGGAGGAATTCCAGAGACAGGAGTGGCTGGGAGCAGGGCAAATATTTTATTGCATGGGGAAGACCCCACCCCCTGCCCTTGCCCCGTGAGGTTGTTTACAGAGGGGCCTCTGGGACAGGGAGGGAAGGCAGTGTTGCCTGGGTCTCAGCTCCAGGGCAGATGGGGATGGGCTCCCCTGCCCAGTGCACCTCTGTCATTATCTTGCAGAGGCAGATCCTAGGAGTCTCGGAGCCCAGGAGGTCCAGATCTTGCCTTGAGCATCACCCCAGCGCTCTGGTGGGGTCCTCTCCCTGTTCCTTAGCTTGGGTCTTGACTATGAACTTTCTACTTCAGCTTTGTGGTGGGACATGGAGGCTGGCTTTGGCCATCAGGGACAGGATCAGGACAGAGGGTGTGGCCTGGACCAGAGAAGAGGCTGCCTACTAAGCCTGCTCTGAACATGCTGTCCCCTCCATCACTGACCTGTGGAGACGCCCGTGAACACATCGAGCCACCCCAGTGTGGACACACTGCGTGTGTGTTCCCCTGCCCACATGGACCTTGCACACCTTTAGAGACTGACCAGGTGAACGTGGAGTAATTCACAGCACAAATGACCTTGCCACAGCAACTTCTCTCCACCTTGCACATCTGCCATGTGACAAGATCGGTCTGTGTGGCACAATCAGACAGCTGGGGCCCAGCCTGGGCCTGGTGGCATGTGATCTCCAGCCGCCATAGGACCAGGCTTGAGGTGTGCAAGGTGTAAACACTTCTACCCAGTACCGACCGCAGACACTTGGCCCTCCCTCCCCTTCTCCCACAGGAGTTCATCTTCTTTCTGACTCAGGTGACTTCAGCCCTTCCAGCGCCCCTCCCCCCTTCCCTGCCCTCTCCTGCAGCTGAGCTGATCTGGGTATCCATGGATGCCAGCGGGTGTGGGGCAGTCATGGAGGGGGGTGTCCCCTCTCTTTCTCAGGGCAGTCCTTGTCTTCTGTGTTCCCTCCCCACCCACCCGAATGACACAGCTAAGGGTGCCCCTCATACCTGCTGGGGATTGAACTCTGATATATGTTGAGTCAGGCTGCACTGAAACCTATGTTCCTGGTGAGGGGAAGTTTGCTAGTTTGCACAGGTGCCCTCTAGGCTAATACCTTCTTACCGGATGAGGGACAGCTCCCTTGTCAAGGTCGCATTGCTCTCTCACCCCCTGCTACCACAGGCATCTGTGTGGCTGGGTCCCATCACTCCCCAATTCTGTTTTTAGGAGGCCAGCAGAGTTTGCATGAGCAAGGGTAAGGTGGCTCCTAGACTCTCCCATTCCCAAACCAAAGAGCCTGTACCCTGTGTCTTTCTGGGATTTGTCCTCAAGCTTCTCAAGTCCCTGGTCTCTTCCTCCTCCTTAATTCTCAGTAGTCCAGGGTTAACTCAGTGCTTCCATTGGGGGCAGTCTCCTGAATCTAGGGAATGTTGGGGTAGGGTAGGGTAGGGCAGGGCAGGGAGAGTCAGGAGGAGTCCCAGCTCCTGGCAGAGAAGGTGAGGGTGGGTGGCTGAAAGTTTACTTTGCAGTTGGGTTTGCTAGCCCATGTACTGGGGGCAGCCTCCAGTGGGTGTCATGCTCCCATCCCTAGTGGCATGAGAATAAATGCCTGTCCAACTTGGATCATGAGGCCGTGGGGGTGGGGAAAAGGGGGCTTTCCGCACAGCTGTCTTCTGCCTTTAGCAGCAGGCAGTGTCCTTGTCTCTCATGTGACCCTTTATGACACCTACTAGCTTGGGGAGATTGTGGCCTAAGCTGGGGATCCCTGTGGGCAGTCATGTGGACTGGCTTCCTAGAGAGAATGGCTGCAGGCTTTGCGAGGTTGCACGGCTTCTCCCAGCCTGAAGCTAAGTGGACAGAACCCCCCTATACACACTAACCCCCTACAAGGCCAGTACTAGACTGAGGAGTGGTGGCTACCTGCCCATCCTTCCCTTGGCCCTACCCATTTGAATGTAGAGGTTGGGTGATACTTTTCCTCACTGTGGGTTGGGATAAAGATGTACCTCAACCTCTGGTGTGGACACTCGAAGTGCCACAGTTGAGCCCGTTTGGGCTGTGTGTTTATCATCTGGTAAGATGGTGATCTCATTGCCAAGTTCCTCCTGCCTCCTGCCCACTGGGGAAGGAGCTCAGTGTCAGTGAGGTGATAGAGGTTTTTGCTTTAAGTGGCAAGCCAGACCTGGCTGCCAGGTCTCAGCACAAGACCGCTTCCTTTGCACAGAGTGAGCTTCAAGCTTTGCTCAGACTACGTGAATGTATCGGGAGGGGTTGGGAGGGGCTCAGGCCTTCCCCTGGGACTTGTGCTGGAGAGAGGCAGCAGGTGCAGAGTGTGGTTTTATTTTTGTACTGATGGGTAAGAGACTGTATAGCATCTATTTATTTAGCTGATTTATCTGGTAGATTAGGTAAAAATAAAATACATTAAGATCATTTTTTAAAGTCCTATGTGTCTGATTATTTCTTTTGGTGTTGTCCTAACTATGTGACATCCCACTCCCTGCCCCAAGACTATAACCTATGTTGGCTCCAGGTGTCCTTGTCAGAGGGCAGGGTCCCCACCCCTCACCCCTGCATCATCATCAGAAGCCAGGACTGCTGTGGGCTTCGCCATTCCTGTGTATCTTCCCGAGTGTCTTGTTCTAGAACTCTAGGGGTCAGCAGCTTGGGGCTGCTGTGCTTAGGTTCCTCACAGGCTTGCGGGATGGAGCTGGACAGGAGCCCAGAGGATAGCAGTGACCACAATACAGGGCAGTTGGTATAGAAAAGATGCTTAAGCTGGGGATGTAGGAAGGCAGGAGAATTGTCACTCTCAGCCCTGATTGAATGTGGGGTGGGGGTGTGTGTGCCTACACACCAAGATCGTGCCTGACTTTCCAGTTTGGACATTGGGTAATTGGTTGGACCCCATCTGCAAGTAGTCAGGGAAAAGAAGTAGGTTTGGGGGTATCCCGAGTTATCTCCAAAGCTGAGCCTGAGACCAGGATGTTCTGTGAGAGAGTATTTTGGGGGTGACTCAGGAGCAATCAAGAAGTTTGAATGAGTGGAAGGAAGGAAAGCTACCACTGAGATCACTCAGGGACAACTGGGGTCATTCGTGACACAAGACTCCTGAGATGTACGCTGCATTGCCCAGTACCCAGAATGGGTTGTGGGGCAGCCCCTCATGTACTAGTGTCCACCTCCCTAGCCACCCACCTGTTGTGTTGAACCTGGACTAGAAAGTGATGTCTGGGGCTGCAGAGATGGCTCAGAGATGAAGAGCCCTGGCTGTATCTCCAGAAGTCCCAAGTTCAAGTCTCAACAACTACATGGTGGCTCACAACTATCTGTAATGAGGTTTGGTGCTCTCTTCTGGTGTGTATACTAAATAAAAATAAAAAATCTTAAAAAAATAAAGTGATGGGCTGGAGAGATGGCTCGTAGGTTAAGAGCACTGACTGCTCTTCCAGAGGTCCTGAGTTAAATTCCCAGCAACCACATGGTGGCTCACAACCATCCATAATGAGATCTGGCGCCCTCTTCTGGCCTGCAGACATACATGGAGGCAGGATGTTGTATTCATAATAAATAAATAAATCTTTAAAAAAATAGTGATGTCTGCTGTCACTTGAGACTTGCAAAGGGACCTTCCATGTATCCATCCACGGCCACAATGAGAGGTGATGTCAAGAGGGCCACTGTAGGTGTGGGGCCACTCCTCTGCCTAGCTGAACCCACAGTAAGTCCGCATTCTTTGGGACTCTCCAGAGGTGGCTTATGAAAATCGCAAAAGAGACTTAAGAGCTTCTTAGGACGGCCATGGGTCCTTGGAGGCCACTGGTACTGGTTTCAAGGTTGCTGTGAACAGCATTTTGTCTTCCTCCTCTGCCCCCCTCAGCTGGCATTCCCACTGGTCAGAGCTTTCATCTGAGGGGACCGGGGCCCAGTTGCCTTACCTCCGGCAACCAGGCCTTGCTTCCTATACTGTCTTAGTCTCCACTGGCAATGGGATCACTCCAGGTCCCAGCAAGTCCTCTCTCCTGGATGTGAAGTAGTAACCCCAGGACCCGTGGAGCCTCAGATTAAGTGCCATGTTAGTTTGTTTCTCCTGTTGACCCCACTAGTGGTTTCTGAGGAACACCCTGCACTGCTGTCCTGGTAACAGGACAGCTGATTCCATTCCAGGGGAGGAACATATTCTACAAGTCCGGGGAAGGACTTGCCTAGCGTCCAGTCCTTGCCGTTTCCTGGACGTGGCCATATTCATTGGGTGAGCATCCTGGACCTTGAAGAGATGCCGCCTGCACAGACACCCCTCTCCGGGCTGTGTTCATTGTCCCCTCAGGTAGGCTGCCCTGGATGACACTGCATGGGGCAGGGCAGCAGGTCTGATGGCCATGCCCACACGGCTGTGTCCTCTCTACTAGGAGACTGCTGCTACTACAGCCGCGGCAAGAGAGAGAGACCTGCAGGGTAAATCTGATGTTTTCATCACCAATAGATGGCAGCAAGGACCTAGGTGATGTTCAGTCTGACTAGGTGTTAAATGACTCAAGAGCAGTGGTTCTCAACCTTAAGGCTGCAGCCCTTTAATTCAGTTCCTCATGTTGTGATAACCCCCAACCATAAAATCATTTCCATTGCTACTTCATAACTGTAATTTAGCTACTGTTATGAATTGGAATGCAAATATCTGACACGGTATATCTGATATGGCCCATACCTGCAATGTCTGCATGCGGCAGGAGGGTCAAGGAGCACAAGGCCATCCTTTGCTATGTAGCAATTCTGAGACCAGGCTGGACTATGAGAGACTGTCAAAAAATAATAAAAATAAAAGCAAGAAAGGAGGAAAGAAAAAAAAAGGAATTAAAAAGGAGGAAGGAGGATGAAACCAGCCAGGTCAGGGCTGACATTGTCCACATTAAATCCACTCAGAACCTCCCCACCATCTTGTGATCTCAGCTCCTTTATGTGGAGACTCCCAGGCCGATAGTCCCGTGCCCAGGGGGAGAGAGTTCAAGGAACTCAAGGCAGAACTCCCAAGCAGGCCCCAAATGGCCTGCAGGGGAGATCAGCCTGAGTGTTTGCTGTGGTGAGGTGTTTGTGCGTTAGGTGGCGAGAGCTTAACCTCCCATGTCACTAGGAAGAGGTGCACCCACACACCCTTGTCAGTTCTCACAGGAACAGAAGGGAAGGGGAGAGGAGAAGCTGTCTTCAAACCCCAGGTTCCGGAGCTTTTCATCGCTGGGGTGGCACTGGTACCAGGAATCCTGGCCTGCCTGTGACACCTGTAGGTGGCAGGGCTCCGCCCCACAGCTGCTTGCTGGGCTGGCCTTGTTCTAATGTCCTTTTGGCATTCCAGCTACCGCATCTTTGGGAGGGAGTCTACTTCCAAGTGTGGTCTGAGCTGACAATCTAGAGCGGGAGGGTGTTAGTTTGTGGGGTGTGTATCTCTGGGAGACATTCTCCTGGTCACCAGGTGTGATGCAGCTTCTCCTGGGGGCAGCCAGAGACTGGTGAAGAGTGTGGCACCCAGTGCTGCTTGGTTTTTGTCAACTTGACACAAGCTACAGGCATCTGGAAGGAAGGGACTTCAACTGCGGAAATGCCTCCATCAGATTGGCCTGTGGGCAAGCCTTGGAAGCGTTTACTTGGTGTGAGAGGGCCCCGCCCACTATGTGTAGTGCCGCCACTAGGCAGGTGGTTCTGGGCATAGAAGGAAGCCAACTGACTGGCTGGTAGTGGCCCACACCTTTAATCCCAGCACTGGGGAGGCAGAGACAGGCAGATCTCTGGGAGCTTGACCTGGTCTACAGAGTGAGTTCTAGGACAGACAGTGATACGCAGAGAAACCCTGTCTAGAAAAACCAAAACAAGAAAACCTTATCCTCCAAACCAATCAGTTGAATGAGAAAGGCCTTCTGACTCTCGAGGCATGGCCTTTGTTGACTGCAGGCTAACCTGACTGAGTCCCTAGTACTGTTGGAAGCTAAGGTTTTATGCAAGGGAGGCAAACACTCGTCATTGATGGTGGGCTGGCTTCTGCCTGGAGTTTTGAGGGTTGAAAAAACATTGTAAGGGCTGGGGATGTTGGGAGAGCGATTGCCTAGTGTGCACATAGCCTAGGATTATCCCTGGCACCACATAAAACTGGGCGTGGTGGTGCCCACCTGTGATCCTAGGCACTAAGGAGGTAGAGGCAGGAGGATTTGGAGTTCAGATCATCTTCAGTGTTTAGTGAGTTTGAAGCTAATCTAAGCTGCAGGAGACCACTAGAGTGGAAAAAATCCTCTTAAAAGTGTCCTTCAGGGAGGGGGTCCCTGCAAGTTCATAATGGGAAGTGAACCGTTTGAAGAAATAAGAATGAAACCCAGTGTAGATTGATTTCATCAACCTGGACCAGACTTCAGGGAGTCTAATGTCATAGATATATACATTTTAGTTTCTTGAGACAGGGTTTCTCTGTGTAACTGTCGTGGCTGTCCTGGAAATCACTCTGTAGACCAGAGTGATTCTGTGACCTCAAACTCACAGAAATCCACCTGCCTTTGCCTCCCAAGAGCTGGCATTAAAGGTGTGCACCACCAACGCCCAGGTCATTGTCAGCATATTGAAAACACTGTACAGTTAGGAAAAGGTGCCCAGGCAACAATCAGTCCAGCCAGCTCAGTTCCAGGTACACAACAAAGCTTAAGCTGGGACTACACAGAGACTTTACACAGTATGCGTGACCATGAGGGTGGGTTCTACACCTAAAAGGGCTGGAATCTAGTGGGGTTTCTGACCGATAGCATAGAGGTCAGCTGACTACAAAGTACATGTGACCTCTCCCCAAAGGACGGGTAAAGGTCTAGGGAAGGAAGAGTATGGACTCATTCTAGGGAATTAGGGTGAGGTCTGCCTCTATAGCAAAGTTGGGTGATGTCTACCTCCACAGACAGGAAAAAAGTCACCGTGTCATTAACAAAATCCACTCGCAGTCTTCTAAGTGGGAAAACAGATATTTTATCTTCTCCGTTTAGAAAAGGCAACTGTAAATTTAACGTTCTTGGTTTTCCTTAATGCTTCGCTGTGAGTACAAAAACTTCTGTGCCCCCAACACATTAGACCTGGAGGTGGTGGCACACGCCTTTAATCCCACCACTCAGGAGGCAGAGGCAAGTGGATTTCTGAGTTCAAGGCCAGCCTGGTCTACAGAGCGAGTTCCAGGACAGCCAGGGCTACACAGAGAAACCCTGTCTTGAAAAACAGATTTAAAAATGTCCATGTGAAGCCCCCGTTCAGGAGCCGCTGCCCACGCTCTCATCACTCCAGCTCTTCCTCGCCAGCTGGGGAACCCAAAGTGAGGACCCCAGCCCCTCTGGGTCTTTTCAGCCCACTTGGCATCTGAGGAGCCCCTAGCCTTGGTAGGAAGTGAGAGAGACACACCAACATTAGAACAGCAACCGAAGCATTTTGCAGGTGCAGGTTTCATTCTGAGTCTTTAAGGCGACTGTAGGCGACCCGGTGCAGGCTGCTTGCCCCACAGTGATGGTTTAAACACATCTACCACCCGCAGTTTCAGAGGTAGGAAAGGTCAAGTCAGCATGGTGCTGCTGCTTGGCTGTGGTGAGGGCTGCTTACTGATTTGAACATGGTTACCTTTTTGTTGATTGGCCCTGGGGAAGAATTGGTATCTCAGGTGCCCCCCCTTGTTTGATTTTTAGGTACTCTTTGTATATTGTGGGAAACTACCTCCTTGCATTATGTGTGCATTTTGTCTTTTTTCCCCCAGGCTTGTTGCCTCCCTGCTTTATTTATGTTTCCCCCATGGTTTGTGCCATCCCGAGAATGATCTCCAATTGTCACAGTTGTGGTTTAATGAGTAAGTTTATTTAGTGTGCCACAAGCCAAAGTAAAAGAATAAATAGCAAAACATCATCAAATGGGGCTTATAAATATCCAGGAAAAACCAACTGGGAAAGCCCCATTAAGGCAGCCAACTGTGTTTCCACCATAGACTCCTGGGCTGAGCAGCAGAATGTCCCCTCTGGTAAGGCTTTCAAAAAAAAAAAAAAAGATTATCGGCCTGGCAGTGGTGGCACACGCCTCTAATCCCAGCACTCGGGAGGCAGAGGCAGGCGGATCTCTGTGAGTTCAAGGCCAGCCTGGTCTACAGAGCGAGCTCCAGGACAGCCTCCAAAACAATACAGAGAAACCCTGTCTCGAAAAACAAACAAAAAAGAGTGGAGGGATGGCTGACTCAAGACCCGGTGCCGTGCCTCCACTCTTATTGACTGCTAATTTTTTAAAGATTTTTTTTCTTTTGAGCCAGTGTTTCTAGCCCTGGTTCTGTCCTGGAACTCACTCCGTAGACCAGGCTGGTCTCGAACTCACAGAGATCCACCTGCCTCTGCCTCCCGAGTGCTGGTATTAAAGGCGTGCTCCACCACTGCCTGGCTTTTTTTTTTTTTAAAGTACCATTATGCCTGGCAACTGATTAATGAGAAAGAATCTTCCAGCGAACCCAGGGCTCACCATTTTAGCTAAACTGGCTGGCCAGCCATCTCTGGGGAGTCATCCTATCCCAGAGTTCTCCAACCCACCCCAGCAGCACCAGGGTTCTAGGCAGGTAACGTCATACCTCGCCTTTTACATGGTGCTGAGGACCCAAACTGAGGTCCCCTGGTGTGCAGCAAGCACCTAACCCACTGAATATCTCCAGGTTTGACTGTCAAGAGAGAGGACTCACCCTGACGTGGGGACACCTTTCCAGGGGTCTGGGTCCTAGACTGTGTAAGAGGGAAATACGACATGTCTTCCTAGATTGTCCAGGTGTTTTGAATCTGACTTAGATCCTTCTGCCTCAACCTCTGCAGTACACAAGATTACCATGGTACAGCACCAAGCTTGGCTTAGTCTGTTTATTTAGACACATAACAGATTTTGGAAGGGACAGAGTGTTGTAATTTAGGAAATGTGGTACTCGAAAGACACCATGTGACATAGTTCAAATAGAGGTTTGTATTTTTTTTAATTAGGGAAAGGGATCATAAAAAAAAAAAGGAAAGGGAAAGGGGGAGACTGGTTTCTGGGGACAGGAGCAGCAGGAGAGGAAAAAGGGGCAGAGAGAGGGAGAAGGATAGAGAAAGAAAAAGAGGGAGGATGGGAGGTGGGCAGAGCCCTCTTAAAAGGAAACAGTGAATAGGCACAGGTGGTGCTCTTAACGGCTGCAGCTGAGGTGTATCCTGTCAGAACCCCACGGGCAGGCCAGTAAAACAGCTAAATACTAACACAGAGCACATTGAAAACAAAATAATCCAACTATTGCACACTCTACAGGGAAATTTCCCACAAGCTTTGTTCCTTTTCCCCTTTAATCTATGTATCTATGCGTATATACGGGGCATGTCCACAGAGTTCAGGAAAGCACATTAGACATCCTGGAGCTGGGATTAGAGTTGGGTTAGCTGCTGGTGGAGGTGGGTGCTGGGATTTGAACTCCAGTCTTCAAGAGCAGCCAGCTTGCTTGCCTGTGAGCCATCTCTCAGCTCCCCTGTCTCACTCTGACTGGATGTCCACCTCCTGAGAGAGGGACTCAGCATTTGGATTCTAAAACTATTTGTTCTAGCAGGCAGTGCTGGCACACACCTTTGATCCCAGCATCAAACAAACAAATAAACAAAAACCCAACTGTTTGTTCTCTTGGGTTTTTATTTTTATTTTATTTATTTATATTTTTTTGGTTTTCCAGACAGGGATTCTCTGTATTGTTTTGGATGCTGTCCTGGAACTCTGCTCTGTAGACCAGGCTGACCTCGAACTCACAGAGATCCACCTGCCTCTGCCTCCCTAGTGCTGGGATTAAAGGCGTGCGCCACCAACGCCTGGCTTATTTTTATTTTTTTAAGGCAAGATCTTACTGTGCAGCCCAGGCTGACCTCAAACTTGTAGTAATCCTCTTGCCTCAACCTCTCAAGTGTTAGATTACAGATATGATCCATCATGCCCAATTTGTTTTCTTTTTTCTTCTTCTTCCTTATTTATTCGAGGCATAGGTTTCTCTGTGTAGTCCTGGAGCTCGATATGTAGACCAGGCTGGCCTCTAACTCTCAGAGAGGCCCGAGCCACCATGCCCAGCACAACTTAAAAATTTCAATTACAAAATTAAGCACCTATCGATGGAAAAAAAAAAGATAAAATGAGAATAAGAGAAAGGAAGGAAAGTTCCGGAACCGTGGCACCATGCCCAGAATGGTGGCCCGCATGCCTTAATCCCAGCACTCAGGAGGCAGAGGCTGATGGATGTCTATGAGTTTCAAGCCAGACTGGTCTATTAGCAAGTTACAGCGTAGCAAGCTACACAGTTGAGACCCTGTGCCAAGAAACAACAACAAAGAAAGAAAGAAAAGAGAAGAAAAGAAAGAAACGGCAAAAGAAAGGAACAGGAGTGCAAGGTCTTCTAGACCTGGCGTAGGGGTGGAAGCCGAAAGACACACTAGAGACTGTCTCGAATCTCTTCTTGCCATTCAGGACAATGGGGGTCCAAGTTGTAGATTTCCAAGGCCATTCATCAAATCTTGCAGACCCCAGGACTGTTGAGAGAAATTAGGTTGTGCCAGTGGGTATGAGGAAGGGAGGAAAGGCAATAGGGAAGAACGGGACAGAAAGGCGAGGAGAGCGCCGGAGGGAGAGAAGGCAGGCCTGGGAGGCCCTCGTGGGAGAGAATAAAAGCTGTCTGGAGAGGAGAGGGCCGCGGGGAGGAAGAACACTAGGTTTCCAAAGCCCAGCGCAGGAAAAGAGGTGGCCAGCCTGTAGCAGGAAGGCCCGCAGCAGGAGGGCGAATTCTGCACCAGGAATGGCCTGAAGCCGGAGGGCGGGGTCTGCACTAGGAGGCGGGGCCGGTAACAGGGCGGGTCTCACCTCCTTGATCCTCTGGAGCCTTCGTTGTATGCACCTGCTGTTTTTCTCCAGATTATTCCACGGCCGGAACGGGCTTTGGGAGCTCACAAAGTTTGTCCAGCAGTCAGTAAACTCTGAGATGGAAAAGAGGGCCGTCGGTGAGGCCCCAGTGGTGCAGAGGCCTTCCCCCATCGTCCTCCCTCTTGCCCCTCCCAGGGTAGTACTCTCTCCATAGAATCCGCCCTTCCGGGTGGAGGCAAATCTTTGATCTCTGCGGGGTCAGCACCCTTCCTTCCTGCCCAGCGTCTCCCCCATCCTTCTGGCCATGGCTAGTCCTCCTGGAGCTGGAAAACCTTTGCCCACTGGCGGCTGTGGTTCCTTCTTACGCGGGAGGTCCATGACGTCCACCTGGATCCCTGATCGCCACAGAGAACACAGCCCCTCCTGGTACTTCCTCCTCCAGTGGAAGTACAGACGCGAGGTGTAGATGCGCAGAACCAGGTCTGGGTGATCCTTTTTGAATGCAGCCAGTTCCTGGGCACAGTTCGGGCAGGGGCTCCATGTGAGGTAGCAGGTGATTCGCACTTGGCAGAGTTCCAAGGAACGCATCTTATCAATGAAGAGGATTTCTGCGTGTTTATCTTTCTGAGGGGAATCCAGGCAGAGAGAAGGAAGAGTTGGAAGGCAGAACCAGATATGTGTTGGGGGCTCTGTCTTATGAATTTCCTAAGGTCTTGCCTAGCACAAGAGGAGCCTCTCTCCTTTCTGGGCTCACCCACTAACTCCACACCCCAAAGCACACATCCTTCTCTAAATTGGACAAAGATCCCAGAGGAAAGGGCTCAGCAAATGGCTGGGGTGTTAAAGTTACAGTTCCCAGTGCTGTGGCTTCACTTGAGGATGCTGACCCAAGAGGTTTTATTTTCTTCTTTTGGTTTTCCGAGACAGGGTTTCTCTGTGGCTTTGGAGGCTATCCTGGAACTCACTCTGTAGACCAGGCTGGCCTCGAACTCCCAGAGATCTGTCTGCCTCTGCCTCCCGAGTGGGATTAAAGGCGTGTGCCACCAACACCCAGCTCTGGCAACAGTTTTTCAAAGATGTTTTAATCAGGAGACAGCCTGGGAGACAGCAGTGAAGAGGCCACACTTGTGTCTCCAAGGCAGTAAAAAATCTAAACTAGGAGGGAAATCAAACAGTTGAGTGCAGCCTGGCAGTGGTGGCCTGGTCTACAAAGGGAGTTCCAGGACAGGCTGCGAAGCTCCACAAAGAAGCCCTATCTCAAAAAAACAAAACAAAAACAAAGAAAAAATACTGAGTGCACCATGGGAGGCAGGGAACAACCTGGAAAGATCCAGGGCCACCAAGAAAGACTGAGTTTCGGTGTGTGGGTTAAAAAAAAAAAGGGAAAGTCAGGACCCTCACAGTGTACACGATGCGTTGGGCAGGGTGAGTCCATGGCTGCCTCCCCTTCCGGTACCTTGTTCTGCAGGCAGCCTTTGAGTGGCTGTTGGTCATTGTACGGCTCCAGCAGGTAGCACAGGTAGGTCTTCCTTTGGTAGTAACGACGCTGCTGGACTGGCTGGACCCGGTGCCTATTGCTAAACTGCATGTAGAATATGTCTTCTGTCAGCAGACTCACCGGGCCCCTGTACAAGAAACAAGCAAATGAAGGTGTGAAATGTGACCCCCGGGCCCAGCCTGGCGGGAACCTAACTCTGAGGCAGGGGGAGGAAAGGTGTAGTTGCATCAGGGGCTAATTCTCCCTCACACCCTGCACGCTGCCTCCACACTTCCTGTGGATGGCATTTAGGAATGATGGTCATGCTGGACCATTTCAGAAAATGCTTTACATTAATTTATCTATTAATCCTGGTTGTGTGCATATGTGCAACTGTGCATGAATAAATGTCATGACACATATGTTGGTCGGAGGTTAGCTTGCAGGAACTGGTCCCCTCCTTCTACCATGTGGCTCACCAGGTTGGCAGCACATTTACCTACTTAGACATCTTGCCAGCACAAGACATATTTTTGTTGTTTTTTGAGACTGGGTTTCTCTGTATAGCCTTGGCTATCCTGCTCTATAGACCAGGCTGGCCTCAAACTCACAGAGATTCGCCTACCTCTGCTGGAATTACAGGTATGCACCACCACTGCCCTGTCTGAGACATTTTTTGACACCAAGTCTGGTTCTTGCTGTCTGTAAGTCCAAACTTGAATAGACATGGCGACATGATATCCCTGCACAGAACCTCCCCACACAGAAGCAGTTCCGCAGAGCACACCCGCACTTGTAACTGCCCTACCTGACAGTCTAATGACTTATCCTCCTCTGCTTTGATGTCTGCAGCATCACCCTGTCACCACTGTCCCCACACGGCCTCCTCACATCTCTTGTTTCCCTGCACTCAAAGACCTTGGTGAGTGGCCTACCTATGTGGGTAGAAACAAGTGGTGTTTCAGGCCAGGGCTGTTCCCCAGGAGAACTGAAGGTGTCTGGGCTCCATCGCTGCCCTTGGACTGAGGGCATAGATTCTTCTGGGACTGTCTTTCTGTCCTGGGACTCTTTGGTGGGACCCAAAGGCCTGGGACAAGGTGGCTTAACCGCTTAGCCCAGAAGGTAGAAGGGACTGTTTCCTGTCTCTCATTTCACTTCCTGGTTGAAATACAGGGGGCCCACCTCATCTTGGGTGAATATGTGTGTTTCATGAATTCTTCCCATCTCTGTGGCAGTGACACACTGCGGAACATGCTTCTCTTTCTTCTCTCTCAACTCCTGATTTCAGAGATTGGCACAGATGGCAGGGGCAGCTTGTCTGGAGGGAATTGGTGCCTGTGTCCATGAGTCCTCTTAACCCTGCTTTCCTCACACGTCTCCACATCAATCCCCAAATGCTGTGATCTCTGCTAGAAACTCCATCTTCCATTGACTGGTGAGCCTCTACTTTCCTCAGAGGAGGGCTGACTACCTGTGCCTGGAGCCTTCTCTATTAAGTAAGACACTTCTAGAGTCATGACTTTACCTTCCAATGGGACGCTTTGTGAAGCCCGTACTCCAATCATGGCACAGTCAACCTCTGTCCTTTTTGACTTACTACAAGGATGCTTTCTTTTAAACTGGAACAAATCTGACTTTCAGACTCTAAAGGAACTTATCTTCCTGTGTAATGTCACAGGCTGAAGTATGAATCCCAGACCAGGAGACTTGGCCTTCCATGCTATTCTTCATCTTCTCCTTTTCTGTCTTCTTATCCCCCCCCCTTTTTTTTTTTGAGATAGGGTTTCACTGTGGCTTTGGAGTCTGTCCTGGAACTCGCTCTGTAGACCAGGCTGGCCTTGAACTCACAGAGATCCGCCTGCCTCTGCCTCTCGAGTGCTGGGATTGAAGGTGTGCACCACTATAGCCTGGCTATCATCTCCTTTTCTATATGTTTGGTACCACCAGAGCAGGACACTGGCTATCTTTTTCTGCTGCCCCCACTGAACTGAAGCCCCTCCTTTAATTTAAGCTGGCTGGCCAGTGAGCTCCTGGACCTTGTCATTTTGACACCCAAGGCTGGACTATAAACACATGCAGCTTTGCACAACTCTTCTCACATGGGTACTGGAATTTGAACTCCAGTGTTCAGGCTTGCAAAGCAAATGCTCATATTTCATGAGTCATCTTCCTCCCCCAGTACTTTGCAAATATTCAGGGATCCCCTATTTTCTGGCTCCTTGCATGTCTGTCAAGATTCAAATCTACTCAAACTCACCACATGTTGGGGCTATAGGGCCATCTGAAGGGCTCCAGATGGCTCAGTGGTTAAGAGTACATGATGCTTTTGCAAAGGACCCAAGTTTGTTTCCCAGCACCCAAATGGCAGCTAGCAACTTTCTGTAACTCTGGTTTCAAGGTATCTGATACCCTCTTCTGCCCTCTACAGGCAGTACATGCAGGTGCACTTACATAAGTGCAGACAAAACCTTACCACATGAGTAGGGCATGTGGCACACACCTTTAATCCTAGCACTTGAGAGGCAGAGAGGCAGGCAGATCTCTGTGAGTTCAAGGCCAACCTGGTCTACAAAGTGAGTTACAGGACAGCCTGTGCTGTCTTGAAAAACCAATACAAGAAAACAAACAAATAAAAAAACCAAAAGAAAAAACAAGCAAACAAAAAACAAATACAAAAGCAAAACATTAAAAAAAAAACAGCTGGGCATTCGTGGTGTTCACCTTTAATCCCAGCACTCAGGAGGCAGAGGCAGGCGGATCTCTATGAGTTAGAGGACAGCCTCCAAAACAATACAACCCTGTCTCAAAAAACGAAAAATAAAATAAAGTAAAATAAAAATAAAAAACCAACCCATAAAAACAAAACAATACACACACACACACACACACACACACACACACACACACACACACACACAAACAAATAAGAAAAAACAAAAAACCTCAACACATTTAAAGTTTGGTGAAATTGGTTTTTCCCCCCCTCAGGGGGACCACATGTCTTTTGTATGCAAATACAGGTTAATGTATAATGGTTTTGGCCCCTGTGCACCCCATTTCCTGCCTAAAGTTAAGTTCATTGTCCAAGATCAATGAAACTTTTGTTTTCTTTCTTTCTTTTTTTTTTTTTTTCCTTGGTTTTTCAAGACAGGGTTTCTATGTAGCTTTGGAACCTGTCCTGGAACTTGCTCTATAGACAAGGCTGGCTTCCAACCCACAGAGATATGCCTGTCTCTGCCTCCTGAGTGCTGGGATTAAAGGCGTGCACCACCAAAGCCTGGCTTTTGTTTTTTTTTTTTTTCTTTTAAAAAGGATTTTAAGTTGGGCAGTGGTGGCACACAACTTTAATCCCAGCACTAGGGAGGCAGAGGCAGGTGGATCTCTGAGTTTGAGATTAGCCTGGTCTACACAGCTAGTTCCAGGACAGCTAGGGCTGCACAATGAAACCCTATCTCAAAAAAAAAAAAAAAGATTTTAGTTTTCATCCTTAATTATGTGGAGGTTGGGTGGGGGGAGGCAGGTATGTGCACATGTGTGCAGGTGCCCACAGAGGCCGGAAGAGGGTGTCAGAGCTCCTGAAACTAGAGTGCAATTCTGAGCCACCTGATCTGTGGGTGGGCTCTTCTGCAAGAGCAGCTGCACTTTTAACCACTGAGTGTCTTTTGCAGTCCCCAAGCTTTTCTTATCTTGGCCAGATCTTGCTGGAAGGTAACGTTCTGTAATCCTCAGGCTCATGTGAAACCAAGCCCGGTCCCTTCCCAAGAAGTGTGGGCATGGGCACATGTATGCATGAGCGCACACATAATGTCCGCATGACAATCAGATCAGCAACACACAAGAACTTTGTGTATTAGCAGCGCATAAACAGCCTGGTGGAACTACCCTTCAGTGTACTCAGCAGCCAAAGCTTATGAACCCAAACCAAGGGTGATAAAGGGGCAAAAAGGACAGCCAGAACCCAGGGGAGGATGGGCCCTCTGATGGGGTCTTACAACACCCCAAGTGCTGATGGTGATGCAAGCAGTCCTGTTCCAACAGTGAACCACTCAAGGATTTATGCTTTCTCCTAAAGGTCCAATAATCTACTTATGCCCATCCTTGCCTGTGCCCACCAGGTAGATCTTTGGTTTTTAAAACCAGAATCTTGCAGTGTAGCTCCAGCTGACCTAAAACTCACCATGTAGAGCAGGTTAGCCTTGAGCTCATAGAGATCCACTTATTGGTGCTAGGATTAAAGTCTGTACCAGAGATTGGGGGTGGGGGGGCACACCTTTAATACCAGCACTCAGGAGGCAGAGGCAGGTGAATCTCTGAGTTTGAGGCCAGCCTGGTAGAGTGTGTTCCAGGACAGGCTCCAAAGCTACACAGAGACACCCTGTCACACACACACATACACAAAAACAAACAAACAAACAAAAACCTGTATTATACCCAGCGTTAGGTGGATCTTCTAAAAAAATTCTTTTATTCCTTATCTATTTATATGAGACTCTCTGTGTGTTGCCATCCCCAGGTAGCATCTGGGGCACTGTGTGGGGACTGGGGAATTTTGCCTCCACACTGCTCTTTTGTTTCTCCTAACTTGGAGCTCTTGAGGAGCCAGGGTTTCCTCCAAGGTACCTGAAGGCATCTGTGCCTTGTGTGTGTGTGTGTGTGTCTGTCTGTCTGTCTGAAACTTAGAGGGAGGCTGTGGTGAAGAAGGGTCAGCAGGAAAGGGAACAAGAAGAAACTGGTGTGTGTGTGAGAGAGAGGCAACCATGATACACATTTGTGAAAATGCCACAATCAAATCATTTTGAACATTGATCTAAAGTGATAACTATATATGAAAACATCTAAGACAGAGCTTCTAAAAGCACAGAACTGTGGAGATAATGGGGAGTCTGGAACAGTAGGAGACACAAAACAGCCAGCTGGTCCTGGTCCCTCTCTTGGCCTTGGGGAAATCCCTGGTTTGTGACTGGGCCCTTAAAACACCTGTTTGTGACTCCCCACTCCTACCAGGGTCTCTGGGTGGGACAGTCCTCCTGTTTTTAATCTCCTTGGGCCCTGCCTGTCAATATTGTCTGTTCTCAAGCCTCCCACATACCTGTCCTGGGGCATCCTGTGGGGTATCCTGGGCAGGTTGGTCCTAGCCCTGCTCTGGGTCCTTGGGTCTGCGGCTCCACTTCCTGCCCAGTAGGCTCTGTCTAAGGGACCCTGATAGTTATCTACAGGCCCCACCCCGGAACAGGATGGCCCTGGGCAGTTAGGCTGGCTCCGTCTGAGGCTCACCCGCCTTCCTGTTGTCCTCTCCTTTGGCAAAGGAGAGCCTGGGATGGGGACACCTGTCCCCATGCAGGGATCCAAAAGGAAAGAGGAAGTGCCCGAAAGGGAAGTAGGAGCAGAGCTGGATCGGGGAGGGGGAAGGGCCCCTCACTGGCACTTGGTGAGGTTCAGGGTTCACCTCTGCCTATGTGCTACACCAGCAATACAGGAACGGGGGTGGGGGAGTCATGGCTGACACCTCAGAAGAGGCCACACAGCAAATGAAGAACATGGCTGGAGCGTGGCCAGGTCGGCTGGGCTGCGTGAGCTCCCTCTCCCTCCAGGCGCTGCTTCTGCGGCCCCCATTGTTCTCAGGCATAAGGGTTGGGGAGGAGGTGGCTCCCCCAGGCCCTGCCAGGTCTAAGATACAAGGACATGGACTTCAAGCTCACATTCCTGAAGCTGCCTGCCTGCTTTGGCAAGTCTCAACCAAGGATCCTCAGATTAGAAAATACAAAGAACATTCTGTGAAGGATGTCACTCAGGGCCTGGCTCTCACCAGACCCAGCATCCCAGCAGCCTTCTCCCCACAGTTGCCCTCGCTTACCTCCTCCCTACTCTCAGCCTCAGTCCTGCCCTGACATTAACAGAAGCTCAGGCAAGATTAGAGGCACTGCTCTCCCCTACCCCATCTGTCCTAATGTCCCGGAGCCAGCTTCTGAGGAAGATTCTGCACTCTGGTTGTTGTTTTGTTTTTTGAGACAGGGTTTCTCTGTGTAGTGCTGGCTGTCCTGGAACTAGCTCTATAGACCAGGCTGACCTTTAATTCAGAGATCTGTCTGCTTTTGCCTCCAGAGTGCTGGGATTAAAGACATGTGCCACTACTGCCTTTAGAAAAAAAATTATATTCTGTATGCGTTGGTATTTTGCCTGCATGTGTGTCTGTGAGGGTACCAGATTCCCCTGGAACTGGAGTTAGAGTTGTTAGCAGCCATGTGGGTGCTGGGAATTGAACCCAGGACCTCTGGAAGAGCAGCCAGTGTTTTTAACTGCTGAACCATCTCTCCACCCTTGTTGGAGTTTCTCTGCTTTCCCCATCTCCAGGATTACACATACACCAATTCCCTTCTGTTTAGCCACTGGATTCAATCATGATACGATGGGAGACACCAAAAGAAGGGGTGGGAAGGGCCTTGTGGGTAAGGATGCCCCAGAGAAAGAGGAGGCCTGGGAGGAGGAGGGAGGGAGGTGGGCCACGAGAAAGCCCCTCACCTGAGAATATCCCAAAGCGTGGAATCCTGGTTCCTAAAATTTATTTTAAGTCTCTTCCAGGGCCTGAATGACTTGCCATCATTGTCCACAAACTTGTTCCAACACTTTTCAAATTCTGAGACAGAAGAGGAGAGAAGGCAGTCAGGGGCCAGCAGGACTCTCCACAGTGCCTCCAGGCTGGCTCCCCGGCTGCTCCCCCTTCACTGTATGGCAGACCCACAGGCCTTCCTGCAGCCCTGATGCCCAGCCCTCACCTGGGAAGTCCATGGCAGCTATCTGGGCTCCTGCCTGATTCAGTCTGCGAAGCTTGTCCTGGTAGTCCGACTTCCAAAAGTAGTAGAGGCGGGAGCTGAAGATGGCCAGACTCAGGTTGCGGTGTGTGTCCAGGAACCTGGTCACTTCCGCTGCACACTCACTGCAGGGGCTCCAGGACATATACCAGGTGATCTTGTACTTTTCACCAGGGGGCAGCATCCCCAGCACTTGGGTGTGGAACCAGTAGAGGAAGCACACTTCAGCATGGAGGTTGCTGCTCTGGGAAGGAAAGGGGAGCCCACGATGGGAGGGGAGGAGCAGGCTGCGCATGGATGGGGGATTCTGGCACTCGGCCGGCTCTGTGTCTCATCCCTCCCCATCCTCCTTCTTAATTTTGCATCCCTCACCATTCTTGCTTTAGCTACCAAGCCCACATCTGTTCTGCGTCTCCCTGGCATCTCTCAGTAGCACTGACTCTGCTGTAGCCAGGTCCACAGAGAGCAGCTGGATGTCATCTGCCTATGCGCTGGGGAGGGCATGGGCTGAGATGTCCCCTTAGCTGGCCAAGGGCAGCTACTGAATCTTGAAATGTGACTCATATGACTTAAGATTTACAGCATGTGCACAACACACATCGTTTCGTTCCCTCTAAATTTGTTATTACTTATTTATTTATTGGTTTTTGGAGACAGGGTTTCTCTGTGCAGCCCTGCTGTCCTGGAACTAGCTCTGTAGATCAGGCTGGCCTTGAGCTCAGGATCAGTTTGTGTCTGCCTCCTGATTGATGGGATTAAAGGCATGCACCACCGCTTAATATTATTATTATTATTATTATTATTATTATAAAGACAAGATTGTACTGTGTAACCCTGAATGGCCTGGAACTGGCTACGTAGAACAGGCTGGCCTTGAACTCAGATATCCACCTTCCTCTGCCTCCCGAGGGCTGGAACTAAAGGTGTATACCGCCATGCCCAGCCACATCAATCATTTTATATTCAATGGGCTAAGCTCCTGCCTGTTCTGAGAAGAGCCTGAACAATCTATTTAGGTTTTGTTTTAGTTTTTGGTGTGTGTGTGTGTGTGTGTGTGTGTGTGTGTGTACATGTGCTGGACCACGTGCACGTGGAGGCTAGGAATTGACACTGGATGCTTTTCCATTCCCTCTCCAGCTGTACCCAGAACTCTACGACTCAGCTAGCCCAAAGAGCCAGCTTGCCCTGGAGCGTCCCTGGCTCTCCTCCTGTGTTAGGGTTACAGCTCTCCTCTAGGTCCACCCAGTTTTTACATGGACGCCCGGGATCTAAACCCTGGCCCTCATGCTTTTGTGGCACCCCTCTGCAGCCTCTTGGTATTTATTTACTTACTATTTATTGACTTGTTGGTTTAGACAAGATCTCACATAGCCCAGGCTAGCCTCAAACTCTGCATAACCAAGGATGATCTTGAACTTCTGGTCTTCCTGTCTTTACTTCCCGAGTGCTAGGATTACAAGTATGAGCCACTATGACTGGATTTTCTGTGCTGCCAAGGATTAAATCCAGGACTCCATGCATGTTAGGTAAACATTCTACCAACCAAGCTACGCCCCCCCCAACCCTAATACCTCTTTTCTAAAGACCCCTTGGCAAAGGGGGACAAGTTCACCGCACTCCATCCTATTCACTTCGAAGCACAAGAAGGTATTCTTTCGACCGTTGGCATAGTGGAGGTTCTTGAAGTGGAAGTAGAATGTTCTTTCATATAACATCTTTATCGGGTTTCTGCAGACACAAGAGAGAAAACAGACATTTCAGAGTGTGCCCTGGAGTGACTCCAAGCAGAACCAGGCCCCTGGAGGCCAGAGACATTGCCTCCTCTCAACCTTTGATAAGTTCTGTGGTCTTTCCAAGCAGGAAGGTGGAGGGAGGAGAAAACCGCTGCCTTCCAGTGCAGCCCCTCCCCCAACATGGAAGGCACAAAACTCTTCCACCCGTGAGCAATAATTTTTAACATTTCATCCCTGCTCCTTCCTGATGCGACGCCTCTGCAGGCCACGGAGGTTCTAAAAATCAAGGAAACGGTGCTGGAGCAGTGGCTCAGTCAGTAAAGCGTTTGCACACAAGTCCAGACTCTCAGAGCAGATGTAAAAGTCAAGCCTGGGGTGTGCGTCTATAACCCCAGCGTTGGCGTAACAGAGACAGGAGGATCCCAGGAACTCATCGGCTGGCCTGCTGGAATCCACAGCTTGTTTCAATGAAAGACCCTAGTTCAAAAAAAAAAAAAGTGGAGAGCAACTGGGGAAGACATTTGACATCAACCTCTGGCTCCCAGATGTGAGCACACACACATATACATGTATGCCTGCAGGCCTAAAAAGGACACTGATCTCATTACAGATGGTTGTGAGCCACCTTTTGGTTGCTGGGATTGAACCCAGGCCCTCTGGAAGAGAAGCCACTGCTCTCAACCTCTGAGTCATCTCCAACCCCTCACACACACACACATATACTGTCAGAGAAATGCCTAACTTCACACAGACAATCTACTGTCTCAGCATTTCTTGGGTCTGAGCTCCCCAAGTCCTTCCATGACCCTATAGGACATGGTCCCATTTAATAGGCAGGGAAAGCCCAAGCCTGTAACTATAGCCTTTGGGGAACAGGAACAGGGGGATTATTCCAAGATTGAGTCCTGCTTGATCTATATAGTGAGAAGCAGGCTAACCTGTCTTAAACAAACAAACAAACAACCCCAAAAGCAGCCAAATTACCACCCCCACTGCCACCACCACAAAATCCCACAACACATTAACAACCTAAAAACCAGGAGACAGAGCTCCCTGCCATAGAGCTGGGAGGAAAAGAGCCGGGTCCCTGGTTAGGGCAGCTGGTCCACGATGTTGTCAGGACAGGGAGAGCTGTCGGGTTCAGTTCAAACATGCCTGAAAGAGGGAGTGAAGACAGAGAGAAGAGACAGCAGGTAGAGGCGGGCCACGCGGGAATACTGCAGGTGCCCCAAGTTCATTACTCGCAGTACTTAAGTACCCCAGCCCAAAGGGGAGGTCAAAAGACTTCCTTACCATGATACAAGGAACAAACATTAACACTCAAAAACCTAATAGCCATGCCCTAAGTCAAACATCCTGTAATTTGGTCTTAAGGGTCAAGACATCCAGCAACCACACCTTAGGCCAAACATCCTGTCGTTTAACTTTGAGGAGCAAGAATATAGATTTGAACCCTCTGACCTTAAGTCAAGGTGGAACGAGATTCATCAAGTTGGACCCCTCCCTCACAGTCAGCAGCCTGCAGACTAAAGGGCTGGAGGACCCAGATTTAATCAACCACTGGTCAGAAGAATAAGAGTCTTATCTCTGTCTGAGAGGAGAGGTGACATCCCTGCCTGGGTACAAGGCCATACATGGGCCAAGGCTATTTACAGACAAGTGCCGATACCTGGCTTCAGGAGCTGAGCGTGGGGAGAATACTGGCTGGCAAGGGGCTTTCTGCTGAAGACTAAAGACACGCTTTTCTGTGATATGCCTTGCTGAGTCCACTCCTGGCAGTCGCTCTATACAGGCCTACCCATCACTAGACAGAATAAAGTTGCTCAGGGAAAGGTGAATGTTCTAAATACACACACACACACACACACACACACACACACACACACACACACACACACATGGCTGCCTGGGGTGCAGGAGGGTCAGTGGGCTTGGGGTGCAGGAGGGTCAGTGGGCTTGGGGTGCAGGAGGGTCAGTGGGCTTGGGGTGCAGGAGGGTCAGTGGGCTTGGGGTGCAGGAGGGTCAGTGGTCTCCGGTTGCTGGCCACTCTCACCCCTCCACTTTCTTAGCAATACACCGGGCCTACCTTCTATTCACACACGATCTGCCCGAAGAATTCTGTAATCAAGATCAAAAGCGCCAGAAGAGGAGCTAGAAATGAGTGACAGTGTCACCTGTGGGAGTAGGGGGTATAACTTTCATGTGTGTATGTATGTATGTGTGTATGTATGTATGGTTGTGAAATATGCTCATGCCCCTTGACATTGGCTACGTGTACATGTGTGTGCATGTGTTGTGTGTTAATACGTGCGTGCTGGAATGCCTGGAGGCTCAGAGAGGACCTTGGATCCCCTGAAGTTGGAGATGCAGGTGGTTGTGAGTCCTACCATTGTTTGCTGGGAATTGAACTTGGGTCCTCTGTGGAGGCAGCGAACGTTCTTAACTGCTGAGCCGTGACTCCAGTGCCAGTCCCGGCCCTATTCTTTTTCTCAGAGTTATCTGAATGGTGTCGTGAGAGGTCACGGTGACCATCCAGGCAGTGGACGTGTTGGGGGTCCTCTCTTTTCTCTCTTTCTTTCCCAGGGGGGCTACTTCTGGAAAGGTGATTCACATGGTCTCAGAGAGTGGTCCCCTCTTTTCCCAGCATCCCCCGAGGTTGGATTGGAACAGCATGGATAGCCTAGGACATCCATGGAAAGTGCTCCAAACAGGACAATCCAAAGTCTGCATCCATGAACTTTTCTTTAAATTCTGACGCCCAGCCCAGGATGAGCAAGAAGACCCACAGGCGAGCAGCCGCAGCCTGAGTTTTAACAGGAAGTAAGTAATATGGGCGGTGTGGAGAGGGGTGCAGGGGGCCAGTGTAGCAGCAGCTATGAGGTAGGTAACCACAGTGACTCAGAGCAAGGACCCTGGCGGGAAGTAGGAGCTACAGAGGATCACGGAGAGAGAGAGAGGAGCCTCAGGGCTGGGGACCTGGAGGAGAGAGGCCCAGCACGTAGCACAATGGGGGCTACCAGGAAGAGACTGCAGAGGGAATCTTGGAGTAACGGGGTCAGACGTACCTGATCGGTGAATAGGGTTTGCGATGGTAGCATCCCAGGCAGGCTGGTTCCATCCCAGTTCTGGACCCCTCGCGCTGGGGTTGCATTTCCTGTGTACAGGCCCTGGCTTTGGGAGACCCCAGAAGTGTGAGTGACCTCCGGGGCCATGTGAGTAAACGCCCCACCCTCTTCCTGCTTCAACTCCCGGAATGGGAGGGCTCTGGGCGATCGAGCCCAGCCGGCTCCTTCCACCTTCCCTCCTAGCCTCTGTCCCCTGGCATGGCAGAGACCTGCTGCTCGCTACAGCGGCCCGAGGGGATCGCAAAGAGAAAGAGAAAGTAACTGATGGCAGAGTGAGGCGGGGCAGGACACACGCCTCTAGGGTAGCCCCAGGCTTCTCCATCCAACCGACTCAACCCAAGCTGTGCCAAAGTTTGGAGCGGTAGCTGCCAGATGAGCCAAGGGTTTGGCTCTTCAGGTGTGAAGGAGGCGCAAATTCTGGGTGGGGGCTCCTTGGTCCCTTTCTCTCGATCCAGGACGGGAGGGGACAGCCAAAGCTTTGGGTTCCTAGTTGTGGGCTTGGATTTTGGCGAGTTTCATCTCTAATTTCCCAGCTGCCCCACGTGTAGTGCGAGCCTGGAATCGACGGGGACACAAGCTCAGATGGGTCATTAATGGCTCAGGGTCAGACAGCTGCAGGTGGACGAGCTGGCGTTAGAGCCCGTGATGCAAGCTCGTTTCCTGTTTGTCCCTGCAGATGAGGAAGACTGATGCTCAAAGATGAACCAGCTTGCTGTCCTCACAGACCGGGCTCTCAAGGGTGGCACTGTGGACCAAGAAATGAAGTACGTGCACGCTTCTGGTTATTGAGGTTAATTCAGAGTTCTTAGAAGAATGAATGCACATGGGGTCCAATAGTCGACGCGTCCTTGGATACATGTCTGCGCAAGTGAATCGGTGCTCGCCTCAGAGGCTCTGGGCTCAGTAGCCGGCTGTCCTGGAATGAGAATGTGTCACAGCGCCCCCACCTGGAGGATGTGTGTCTTTGTGCAAAGCGGACAGACTTGTTGAACTTGCCACGGAAAACAATGGACACAATATAACAGCATTATAATGGGAATTAATTATAATGGGAATTAATACTTCAATCAGAAGTAAACACATTTAAAAAGAAAATATAACGAGAGGAGAGTCAGGAATGCACCAATCCCAGGTTCCAAGGAGTCAGAAGATATGGTAGGAAAAACTCCAGCTCATGACTTTAATTCCAGCTCTTGGGAGGCAGAGGCAACTGGATCTCTGTGAGTTCCAAGACAACCAGGGCTACACAGAGAAACCTTGTCTTGAAAAACAAAACAAACAAAGCAAAACAAAACAACCTCATAATATCACTTCAAATTAACTGGGTGGTTAAAATAAAAATGAGTGATATAACCAAATTCTGGGAAGGATGTGGAGAAAATGGACCACTCACACATCGGCTAGGAGAGTACAAAACGGTATAGCTATTGTAGGAGAGTGTAGTGATTTCTTATTAAGATAAACACATGGGTGCTAGGAAGAGGCTCAGTCAAAAAGTCCCATTCTCTAAGGACCTTCACTAGAAGCCCCAGTGACAGAAAGGACACACACTGAGCCCCTTGTGCAACTCAGCATTTCCAGTTTTCCCAAAAGTTTGTAACTCCAAGTACATCTCTGGAGTCATCATATATCTTATCAAAAGACAGAGAGGGACAGGCTGTAGAGATGGCTCAGTGGTTAAGAGCACTGGCTACTCTTGCAGAGGACTGAGGTTCAGTCAGTTTCCAGCACCCACATGCCAGCTCACAACCATCTGTAACTCCAGTTCCCAGGGATCTGATGGCCCCCTTCGAACTTTTTTTTTTTTTTTTTGATTTTTCAAGACTGGGTTTCTCTGTATTGTTTTGGAGGCTCTGTAGACCAGGCTGGCCTTGAACTCACAGAGATCCACCTGCCTCTGCCTCCCGAGTGCTGTGATTTAAGGCGTGTGCCACCAATGCCCGACCCCCTTTGGACTCTTCGTACCAGGCTCGAGCACACACACACACACACACACTCACACACACACACACACACACACACACACACACACCATACAAATAAATACAATAAAGAAAGAAATGCAGTGTGAGTGGTGATGTCATTGCTTTGGCTCTGTCCTTGACTTTGGGTACCCACTAAGTTCCTTACAGAAACCACATTTTTCTCTTACCAGGAGCCCCATAAAGTATTTAGTTTATTTGTTTTCTCCAGGGAATGGTGTTCAAGACAGAGTTTCTCTGTGTAGTTCTACCTGATCTAGAACTCGCTCTGTAGACCAGGCTGGCCTCAAACTCACAGAGATCCACCTGCTTCTGCCTCTCTGGTGCTGAGATTAAAAGCGTGAGCCACCACTGCCCAGCTTGCTGTACTTGGTAAGACACTTTCTTACTAGATAAACCAGGCTGAACTTGAACTCAAACCCCCCTGACAGCCTCCTGAGCACTGTGATCACAGGCATGTGAGGTTATTCCCCTGATGCCGGACCCCCAAACACAACCACCACAGAGTCAGGTACCAAGGCAAACGCACAGGCGTTTATTGTAAACGAACTGGAGTTCAGGCCATCCAGAAGCACTCCGATGTAGCGGGTGAGGGAGCCACTCCAAACCAGCAAGGGAGAGGGCTTAAAAAGGAAAAAGCCAGCCTGGCTTTGGTGGCCCACGCCTTTAATCCCAGCACTCGGGAGGCAGAGGCAGGCGGATCTTTGTGAGTTCGAGACCAGCCTGGTCTATAAGAGCTAGTTCCAGGACAGCCTCCAAAGCCACAGAGAAACCCTGTCTCGAAAAACCAAAAAAAAAAAAAAAAAAAAAAAAAAAAAGGAAAAAGCCACAAGCTAAGGGAGTACATGCATTGGCATTATATAATTGGAGTAGGGGGTGACACTTTGACTGATTGGCCCTGGGACATCTGGTGACCATGATAAGCTGCTAGTCTCATAACTGTCTCAGAGGGATGAGGGGCCCTGAAGTATTTTCATTATTTATTTATTTGCCATTAGTGGTTTTTACTGGACCTGGGTTCAGGTCCAGTCAGGGGTTTCTCAAGATGGTGTCTAGTCTAAAATGGCATTAGTTTTGCCTGGTCCCACAGTGACACTGTGCCTGGCTGCGTTGTGGTCAGTGACAGTGAACGGTGTGTTCAGGTTTCTCTGCCATCTCTAGATTTGCATTAAATATATTAATAATCTGCACAAACAGATTCATCCTCTTGACTCTTTTCCATCGCATAAACTGAAAAGTCAAGAGTCCAGCTCTCTGCTCCCCTCCCATACAGCTTTCTCCTGGGATCTGTACTTGTCAAATGGAATTGTTAATCCCCCTGGATAAGACCACTGTGTCAGTTTGAACCAAATTTGAAGCAAGCTTGATTTTCATTGTGGTGCACCCAAGAGCTGGCCAGCGACTGCCTCCTAAGTCTGGTTAAAGAGAGCAGCCCCAAGTCCTTCTCTTGGGCTCCTTTTAAGGAGTGGAATCGCGAGTTGCCAAGCAGGTGTACAGAAGAGAGACAATGGAGAGATAAGGAAAAAACATCTCCAAAAAAACATCATGTGTGTTGGGTCTGGGAATCGTGAAATATTGAAGACCACCAAAGTTAGATGAGCAGAAGTAGCTTTATCCAGTTAACGTGGCTGCCAGAACTTTTAACGACCTAGGGCCCAGGAAAGTCAGGATCTGGCTCTGTGACCCCGAGCAGTAAATCCTTTTTAAAGCAAAAGTCATAGCTAGGGAGGTGACATAAGAAAAATAATTTTTACAAATTGAGCTTATGTCCTGGGTGATGGTACATTCTGGAAATTTACAACTTCTGATAACATTTTACAATTAGTACAATTTGTGATAACAAGGTGTTTGTACAAGCTTAATGGGGTTTGCTTACTCAAGTCTGTGGTTATCTTAACACAGCTCATGACACAGCTGGGGTTTTGTCTTAATTTTTAACCAACTGTTCTCCCTGTAACTGAGACCATAGGGCAAGGGTCAATCAATAGAAAAGGCTGGGTAGGTAGACTAATGTTCAGACTTGCTTTGAACACTTAAATGTAGTCGCCATGTGATTAGGGAGGCCCAGGAGGTAAGGGTATTCTCACAAACGAGTCAAGGTCATGGGTTGGGAAAGGTCAGGTTCCTGGAAACAGAGAGCAACTCAGCTCTCACAGTGAGGAGGAACTTAGTTTTAACAATACAGCACAATGACTCCTGTCTTCAAAATGGAGCCAGGCAATTCCTCAGAACCACACCCGACTTGTGTTTCTGTGTCTTAGTCAGGGTTTCTATTGCTGTGGTGAAACACCATGACCAAAGAAAGCTGGGGAGGAAAAGGGCTCATTGGCTCCACATCACTGTTCATCACTGGGGGAAGTCAGGACAGGAACTCAAACAGGGCAGGATCCTGGAGGCAGGAGCTAATGCAGAGACCCTGGATGGGTGCTGCTCACGGGCTTGCTCTTCATAATTTGCTCAGCCTGCTTTCTTACAGAACCCAGGACCACCAGCCCAGAGACGGCACCACCCACTATGGTCTGGGCCCTTCCTCATCATCCACTAATTAAAAAAATGCCCTATGGGCTTGGAGAAATGGCTCAGGGCTTAAGAGCCCTGGCTGCTTTTCCAGAGGACCCAGGTTCAATCCCTAGCACCCACATGACAGCTCACAACTGTCTGTAACTCCAGTTCCAGGGGATCTGGCATCCTCATACAGACACACATGCAGGCAAAACACCAATGCACATAAGATAAAATAAATAAATAATTTAAAAAAAGAAAGAAATGGCTCACATCTGATCTTACAGAGACATTCTCTCAACTGAGGTTCCCTCTTTCAGGTAGCTCTAGCTTATGTCAAGTTGACAAAACTTGCTAGCACTTTGTGACTGACTTATTTCAATATCCTCAGAGTCCATCGACACTGGAGGAAGTCAGTAATCTTCCTCCCTCCCTCCCTCCCTCTCTTCCCTTTCTCCCTCCCTCCCTCCTTCCCTCCCTCCCTCCCTTTCTTCCCCTCCTTCCCTTTCTCCCTCCCTCCCTCCCTCCCTCCTTCCTTCCTTCCTTCTTTCCTTCGCTTGTTTTTGAGACAGGGTCTCTCACTATGCAACCCTGGCTGGTCTAAAACTCAGAGGTCTATCTGCCTCTTCCACCCCAAGGCTGGGTTAAAGACGTGTGCTACCATACTTGCTCCCCTCACCCCCACTTTCTTTTTTGAGACAGGGTTTCTCTGTGTAGCCCTGGCTGTC